CTGAATTTAGCCTCATTGCACTTTCCTCACTGCGTTACCAATTCAATCAACTGTTAACCAAATGATCATTAAAACACTACATGATAAAGTTGACAGATCATCATGTACCACTGTTTATGGACAGGACATAATTGAGAGACGGTGACTGTGCATTGCTTATCATCACCATGCGAGTGACAAAGGCGCACCATGATGCTGCTTTTGAAACCTGCTCTACAAGCTGGCACGGCCTCACTGTGACAGGAGGCGTGGGCACAAAACAACCAGATGATGACTCCACGGGGGGTGGGATGGGGGGCAAGAGATGGTCAGAGCGCCAGCCCATAATCATCAATCAGTGTCCAAAACAGTTGTATCATCAACCTCAACACAAGACTGATTCATTTGTAACCTTTAAATCAATGAATAACACCAACTTAAGTAAGAACCTTTTTGAATGTTTGACTGCAGGCTGCTATGTTAACTTGTTGTTGTTTTGACCTCTTTAACAGCATGCTAAATCTGGGCAGGGAGTTGCAAAGTTAGTCGTTTTGGAGGATTTAATACATAATTTACTAAACTGCTGTCTCATGTGGAGGGATGGAAATCTATATGTCTAACTTGTACTCTCCCGCTGCCATGACAGAAGTGAAGGATTAAACTGCCCAACTTTTGAAAAGTCAGCTAATCTGCAGTGGTAAAATCTGCTTGAATATACCACATGGACATCATCAAACATCTGTTATAAAAGAACATGGGCACAAGTCCAAGGACACTGTGAACAAGTCAATTGATCTTTGCTAGTAGGGATACTTATGAGAATTATTCAAATTGTGGCAGGGATTTTATCTCTAATAAGCATTGTATTGCCTTGATGAAGATGCGACACTAAACATTGCAGCAGAGAATGAGAGACTACCTCAAATGACCTTCGGGCGGGGGGAAGAGGTGCTGCCAGGATCTTGTCCCCATTGTCGAGAGTTGTGGGAGAAGGAGGAGGTGAGAAAGAGCCCTGAAGAGCAGTGTCAAGTCACAAAGTGTATCAATATTTAATCAGTTTGGCCCTTTCTCCTAGGTGTGTGCCTCCAGAGAGACAATTATGTGTGAAAGTGAATTCCAGGAGATACTGCACGCAGCCCTTATACCTCTACACTTCAGCACACATCAGCATTTCACAGCTATAACTGGTGGTGCTGATGGAAATAACAAACTCTTCTTTATTTGGTTTTAAGGTCCTCCTGCACATATGTTTTTAATTGGGCATCAATACATTTCAGAGTGGATATTGTTGAGATCTTCATATGAAGTGAATACTTAAAACGAAAGTTAATTGAGATCATGGTATGAAGTGAATACTTAAAAACGAAAGTTAATTATAAATCATACATGATCAATCATATTCTTGTATAAACCCATAATGAGAATGCTTCTTGACGGTTTTTGAATATGTATCTATGCTTACAATTTTTTCTGTTGCTATTTGAGAACTTTGCGTTTTGAAAAGAGGGTGTTGTGAGTTTGCATAGTATGTTTAATACTTAAAAACGAAAGTTAGTTATAATCAAATATAATCAATTATATTCTTGTATAACCCACAATGAAAATGCTTCATATTTTAGGTTTTCTATAGTTACAGTATAAACAAAACAAAATGGTTTGTTTAGGTTGAGTTTTCTTCCTCTCCTCTGGCAGCAGTCCACAGGGAGGGGGGGGGCTTCACACTGAGGAGACACATTAAGAGGCCAAAGAAAGTTCATGTCCTTTTCACCCTAACATGAGAGGAGGAGTTTTGTTTTTTGGGGTTTTCGATCCAGTTTTTTTAGCATAAAGAGACTGGTTTTTTGAGAGAGCGAGAGAGAGGGGGGTTGACCCCTGGTAGACTCTCTCCCGGTAGGCTGTGTGCTTCAGAGCTGGGTTAATAGCTCTCGGTAAGGTCCTGCCAGACGGGGTAAATATCTCTCGAATGTATTGGTTGTTGGCTGAGTGGAATGATTTGATGAGAGATGTGTGTATGAACATTATAAATACCGCGACCTGTGGGGAAATCTTGTCCCCCGAATTTTGCGGACAGGTATGGGTTTTTGAGTGTTAATCCGCCGTCTGTGTCGGAAAAAACGGTATGAAACTGATGTGAATTGAGTTGGTGAAATGAAAAAGTTGAATGCGCTTTTTATTGTCACCGGTCTTTTTACGAGGAAATACCTCTAAATTCTATCGGGAGAATTTTAAAATGTCACAACTGAAATGGGCAGTTGGAATTAAAACATTTTGGTAATAAATGTAAGACTGTGAATTAAAGTTTCATTTGAACATGATCACAGCACGGTTTTTTGTTAGGATGATTATAATGTTGTGAGAGAGAAGGTAAAAACCCTGTATTAGTTTGGACCTATTTTTCTTCAAATAAACTGAATCCCACCTGTTGGATTGGGATCCTTTAAAATACACCTGTGCCCTCCTCTCCTGCTTCCAAGGTAAGATTGCACCCTGCCACACACACTTAGGTAGGAGCACACTCCATTTACTGATATCAAAATCCTTCGGGATCGCTTAAACAGATTAAAAAAGAGTTGTCTGAATTGAAACAGCAGTTAATTGAAACCTTGGTTCTTCGGGAAGTTAGTAGAGGTGAGATCTTGCTGACGTTGGTGGATCTGAGCCAAGCCGCAAACTTACATAGACTCAATAACTTCGGAAAGGTCAATTATAGGTCAGAATAATTTACCGGAATAAATTATCAGGACCACCAAAAACTCTAAACAATATGTACCTTTCCTCGTATTGATCTGGTCTATGAAGCCTCGTTTTGTTGGCAGCAGTGAACATCAGATACACATTAGAGTTCAAATATGTTGGAGCTTTACTCCCAAGGGAATGTGTAAGGTGGTCTCCCCCTTAAACCTACCGTCCAATGCACCCTCCTCGGAGAAAAGACAGGTAAGTTCCTTAGTGAAAATAGAAATATGGCCTAGTTATCATATTGATTGGACGGATCGATATTTTTTTTCTTTTTAAGACAAAAGCATTTACAAAACAAGTTGCCAAATGAAAACTAGTTATTATACTTATATTAAGAAATATTTTACATATATATTCTACTTGTTATAGAATTCACTTAAGTACTGCACACGTAGTTGTATAATTGTATTGTTACTTCTACTTCACAACACACAGAGGGAAATATTGTACCTTTTTCTCCACCACATAATAGCATTTATTCATAGTACCTTACTACTAACTTCACACTAAAGTCACAAGGAGCAGGTATTGCTTATGCACTTCCCTGATTATACTATTAGTTCTCTATATGTTTAGTGTGACCCCTTTAGATACAAAGCAGTGTGAACCTTTTTTTACATTTCAGGGTTTTAAGCAGTTCAACAAAAGAGACATTTCCGCATTAAATGACTAGTTAGTTTGATTTAGATAATTGTTTAAAGCCCCAATATGTCAAATAATTCGATTTTAGATATTCATATACTCATACCGGTCATGCATTATGAAATGTATGATGAAAGTTGCCTTTCAAAACAAAACAGCTAAAGTAAACTTGCAGCAGCAGATTCCCCATTCTCCGCCTGATGCCTCAGGGTAACTGCTCAATGGCATAGGAGAGCTCCATGAGTCTGCCGTTAGCCACCCATCGTTCACTGTTCCAGGAACCCATCATAGATCATAAGCCCTGCTGAGTCGCAAGCATTATATTAGAGCCAGAGTGGTGAAAAAAATGCTCATCAAATCTTCCTTTTACACTTCCTTTTAATGGAAAATGATATTCCTTGAATTCTGTCTCCAGCAGACATCAAGTCTTACTCAGAATGTTTTTTTTTACAGATATGTGCAAATGTCCAGATCCCAAAGGCAGGAAAATACCACTCATCTAAACCATCACCCACACTGTGAGGATTTCAACTTCTGTCTGTTACACTTTTCTTGACATTACTCAAAAACATTATGACCCAGATAAAGAGTTTCTGACAGATTTTATATTTTTGGAAATGCACCAAAATAAATCATCAGTGTGCATACACTTCACCAGGCTATCACATAAACATTGCACATTCATCTGTTTGTGATGGACTAACCCTAACCCTTTAACCCTAAATAGAAGACAATTAACCATCTTCCTATTGGTTAAAATGTATAGCATAAACAGTTAAACAATTGCTAAATTGGAAACACATTCACTTATGGATTGTATGGAGGAATAAGTAGAAAGTAATGCATCTTCATTTAGCAGGAAAACTCCTAGCAGCCATGAAAACTTGAAAGCACATACAGTATGAAACATTCTGCTCACTTGGTGGTTGTGCTTTGATCTTGCCAGAAGTCAAATCTCAGTAAACATATTGAAATGGTGCCATCTTCTGTCGAAGCAATGCCTCTGCAGCACTTGATCCTTACATTTTTTATTAGAGTTGTTTAGATGTAATGTTCATAATGAGTGCATGATGGTGGTACACTGTATATACATTTTACTTAAGGAAGAGTTAACATTTCATCAAAAGTGAAGTATTTTCAGTGATATAACAAATAGCATTAGTAAATATGAATGGGTTGACAATACTACATCCTGTTACATTTTTCATAAACAACTGTTTCACCATTCTTTAACTTTCTAATGAGAATATTTCTGTGGTCACTGCATTAAAAAAAAACTAGCCAAATATAGGATACATGTGTAGATTCCTTAGTCATAAAAGCTAACTTTATTCTAATAAAATGTTGACCATTAAACATTATAAAGGTATCATTCTACGATATTGATGTGTAATAATGCCAGCCCCATTATAAAATGCTTTGCATTTTGTAAAAGGGGCATCTCTTAATTACCAATGTGCTGCCTGGCTGCAATTATATACATTCAACTATGCCGGTATGCAAGCAGCTGTTATGGTAGCTATTGGTGTCAGTGCTAATCTTCTCCAAAGGTGGCGCTGTATCTAATTTATGCCTGACTGGCCCTTTAACTCTGACGTTTCAGTTTTCCTTGGTTTTCCTCCACGTTGGCCGCACATGCGCAGAGTGCGATTACCTGCTATCAGAGGCGAACTAGGAAGTCTGGCACTGTCTGGATGTCAGGCTAAACTGAAACAATATACATCGCCGCAGGATAGTGGTCAACTGCTAGTCCATTGTTAGCTACTTTGGCGTGACAAGATGTTTAAAAAGCTCAAGCAGAGGATAAACGAGGAGCAGTCACCGCAGAGGAATGCGCTGTCACCACAGCAGGCCCAGGTTGGTTGTTGTGTTAGTGGGAGCTAACATGCTAGGCTAACATATTTACATTGCTGAGGTGCTAGCTCAGGATTCAGGAATATATATAATATTACGTATTTGGTCTATGCCTCGAAACCAAATGTTGAGTAATATCGAATTGACATAACTCAATAAGCTGTTAACTTGTGTTCATTCATATTCTCAGTTGAACCCTTTGCTTTATTCTAAATGTTAGCCCCACGCTAAATTCTTTAGCTGCCTGACTTAGCTGTCATCAATAGCTGCTAGTAAGGTGCGTTCAAGAACACTCGTAACTGGTTAATCTCGTTATCATGTACACACAAACGACAGCAGCCTGCTAACTGAGAGCTTTGTTGTACTCTAAACATTATTCATGAAGAGACACTGAGACGTATGGGCGTGTCGGTGTTAGGTTGCTTGTATTGGCTGCAAACGGATGTCAGCTGTATTTGACACATGCAAACCCGGGCAGCACCAACCACTAGACTAGAGCAACTAGAATTAAACGCAGTAGTTAAAGGACGCCATGGTTAGAAACACTGCTACTAAGCTGTTTTCTGCTCGGTATTAATTGTTATTTCCTGTATACTTCATTGGTTAATCATAACCCTGCTAATCAGTTTGAAAGTGTCCTCATTTGGCACTGTACTTTGTCAATGATTGGCATATATTGATTTAATCGTTTAGCTATTCCTGTTTATTATACATATATGTTTTAGCATATTTGAAGGTCCATTGTAGGCTTAAACCCAGGTATCAGTGTTGTTTGATAAACCTGATTTGTAGCTGTATGATTATTGTAACTGGAATTTATGACCACTATTTTATAAGTGTGTTCAAATTGCCTCATTCGCCTTATTACACAGTGCCTTTTATTGATAACTTTGTTTTAATGATTTAGGCTTCCTTCAATGCGATTTGGCCCTTATTCAGAGCCTACATCAATGTGGTACTTGTTGCTGTGTTTGTAGTTCATGACAATTAATGCCAGAAGCAAAATGGGTGCGGTATCATAGGAAAATAAATCATAGGAGTAGAGTAGGCAAACAACAGTGTTTTAATCTACCATTACATTCGATGTCAGTTGTCAAAAGACTTGGTTTCTCAAAACAATATCAGAATAAAAAAAGGATAGACAGGTTCTGATTGTGTGTCATTTGGGCAGAGAGATATTGCTTTTGTAATACAAATACTGTTTGTTATATTTTTGACAGACGGGCAGCGGAGAGCGGCGCAGCAGTCAAACCCCGCCGCTCCATCACGATGGCTCCCCCTCTCCCAGTGACAGAGAGGTGAGCATGGGGTCAACCTTTGATCTTTATATATGTTTAATATTTTGAAGCTCAAACTGCAGCCTGCTAAAATGTTGTGTTCTCTCCCCAGCTTTTAGTCTTATTTTCAATACAGAGAAATGTTCCTGTCAGTCATGTGTTTGTTATGCTTTTCCTCCCCCCAATAACTAACCAGTCCCCTTTTTGATCGCTGTGCCAAGTGAGCGCAAATCGGTGACTTTCAGTTTTCAAATAGTGTAGGCTTATAATTTTCACAATCCCATCATCTACTCCGAAATTCAATAATCTCAAAGCTCTCTCGCAGGCTGGTCATAATGTGTGCATATTATTGCGTAGATTTATTCCCTAAGCACATTTCCTAAATCATAGCTATTCAATTTTCTTCAGGCAACAGATTGTCACCGCAAGGTCCTTATGATTTCATGAACACGCACAAGCTGTATTAACATCGTGATAACTGGTGTTGTAGAGCATTCAGCACGATGATGTCATCACACACAGGTATGGTCTGTTCCCTCCATTTATCTGTGTGTATAGTCACATGGGACAATGGAGTTGAAATGTAAATACAATTCTGGGCATTTTGAGTTTTCTTCTTTTAAAGGCATGTGGCAATTTCTTATAATGTTGTATTTCAAATTAAATATCAAACAATATAAAATAGATCATTGTATTGCATAACATAATTATTTCTTTCTTTAGTATACTGCCAAAAGAGTTGCTCATTTAGAGACATTGGGAAGAGCATTGTAATGGTGAAGGGTAGACCATATTTCAGCATGAGTATGAATAATTGATGTTTTCTCCCTCAGTGTTTTTCTTTCCCCGGCGATTTGTTGCAGTATTTTTCTCCTGGAGATATGGGCAAGTTTATGCTTCTTTGATTCCTGAGACAGATCGGCAATTAGGTACCGACCTTGACTGTAAGACTTATGACGCAACATGGGGTTAATCCATTTAAAGTGTAGACATGGCTGTTTAATCTTCAGATACAAAAAAGGGCTTCATTTCTCAGTCATTACACATGTTCTACATTTCAACACCGCAGACTCCGAACTAGAATAGTGACAGTGCCCCTTTCAGTCAGGTTTCCGTACTCTTTATTCCGTATCCTTTGGAGGCACAGTGCTGGTGTAACTCAGGCCCAACAAAGCCTACATTTAGCAGCTTCAAATCATTGCAGCATCTTTTTTCACCTCGCACATCTTTAACACTTTGACATCTCTGGAAATGTATGTTACTCAACTATAAGAGGCAGATTTAGCCTATCATTTCCCAACATCAAAACTCATACAGAGCTGTCAAACTGTTATTCATTACATTAATGTTGATTGAGTGTTTCACTTTCCCACTTATTTTTCTCTCTTCCCATGTCGTCTCTCACTCTCTGTCTTTCTCTCTATCCATCCCACTCTCTCTGTCTTTCTCTCTATCCATCCCACTCTCTCTGTCTTTCTCTCTATCCATCCCAGTCTCTCTCGGCCAGCCCTGCCTAGGAAGTCTGGCTACACACTCCCTTCAACGCTATTTCACACTCATGGTGTTGTTTTTTCTCATTGCTCTCTGTGTTCCTCTCCTTTCCCCCACCTTTCGTCCCGTAACTGCACTGACGGGGTCAGCTGCTGGCCGGGATGATAGCAGAGCCCGCTTTTCTATCTGAGTATACTATCTTTGCTCTGGACCATTCAAAACGACCCAATACGGCCCAGGTAGCCAGTGTGGTGAGTGTGTCCTCACTTCATGCCTCTTCCTCCTCCTCCTCCTCCTCCTCCTCCTCATCTTCCTCCTCCTCCTCCTCCTCCCTCCCGTCTCCGTGCCTTTTTGGGGGAATCGGTAGAGGACTGTGGCCCAAATAGGGACAGCTTGTTCCCTACTCTCTGTCTCCTGTTTCCTTTGGATTTAGCAACAAGAAGGCATCTCATATCTAGTCTAACCCTGCATCTAATGGGCGTTTTGGTTTCTATTGTGGTATAGAAGCTTGTGTGCTTTCCGCCATATGTTGGTTTATTGCCCTTCCTTTCAGTTCCTATTATCTGTTATAGAATTGAATATTGCCCGATTGTCCTCAGGTATCCTTAGTTGCTTGCCTTATAGACCCTCAGCACCCTGTTATGTTGCCTGATGGTCTTTTTCCCTTCTCCCCTACAAGTCTGTTTATTTGGAGGATTGCCGTTTTCATTTCACAAGCTGCGGCAGGCTTTCAAGGCAGCTGAAATGTTAAATTGCCGGTAGCTTATCCAAATAAACAAACAGATCGGAAGACCTTTCTAGATGTGCTGGTGGAGCTCAAAAACTAGATGGTGTGAGTGTTTATTTGTGGAGGCAGTAAGAAGACTAGAAGAAAACAACATGCATCATTTGTGTTATAAAAAATATATTAAATGCATACAGCAAAATCATTTTGCTAACCCATTGTATGTCTATTTAAATCTATGTTTAAGTCTATGATATAATATATGTAATGTGAACATATTTAGTTTGATGTAAGTAGATATTTGTGTCCTACTAATTTAACTAATTTGTGTAAAGAGAGTTTCATTTGTTTTCATCAGTTCCTGTAATGAACGTCTAGTTTACAGCTCTTTAAAATGAGGTTAGTTGAAGTTGTTAATAAAGTGGAGCAGATAAGCGAGTATATGAAAAGCATTACACTTCCTCCAGTGTTTATTTAAAACATAACGTTTATTTTCAGACCAGGAGGAACTTGTGATAGTGGAGCAGATACTTAGAGAAGGTTGTTTGTATTGTTATTATCCAGTTCATTTAGTATTTCATTTGAGCCTTAGATATTTATTATAAAATCAATGGACAGCTTGGGCATACTGTTAAAGTGGGTCAATTGAACTCTTGTAAAGTTTTCCTTTTTGTGACAACCTATTCTTCAGATAACAGTAGGTTATAATAATGCGTAGCAGCTACAGTTGTAATTATCATCTCTTGTACTAATACCACAAATATCTCAAATCCATCTCAACATTCTTGTCATGTTCCATCTACACGTCTCATTCAAAGGTGTCTGAAGAAAGAAAGTCATCCCATCAAACTATCTCATGTAGTCACTTTCTGTTTTCACCAAAGAACATTTACATTTCATTCTCGAGGTAAAAACTAGTTTTGCCGGCTGTGTTTGTCCTTTGAGAAGAGCCACTATTCAAGAAGTCAAGGAGTCTCTTGGAATGATGTTTGTTTGGCTCTCGCAGTCGCAATTACTATTGTGAATGACAGGATTTTGGATTCAGAACCACATTTGTTGTCTGTTTGGACGTGCAGTACTGAAACACAGTAGAGGCACTAAACTCTGTGTTAGTGCAGAGTAGACACGCATGGTGAAACAGTCAGTAAGTATTGTTTGCTATCCTTTACTTCTGTTCATTCACGCGAACCTGTGAGAATATAATAAACAATCTAATTTATATGAATATTTTAAAGCGCAGTTTTTCTCCTGACACCCTCATTCAGCAACTGAGATGTACTCATTATAGCAGTCTTCTGTGATGTGTGCAAAGCAACAACGATGAACTAAACCTTACATTGTGCAGCCCTAACGCAGAAACAAAATTATGCAGAACAATACAAATAAATGTAATCCTTTTTAAACCTCAAAACCCCCCTCAACAATTGTGGCATATTAATCTAAAACAGATCCTGGAAGTGACTAACATCTCATTACAAACTTTTCCACAAGAAACAGGACGGAAATGTGTTTCACAGTAATCCAGAGGAAGGAGTAGGAGAACACTTTCTTACTCGCTGCTTCTAACAAGACAACTAAACCTACCGAGCTGCTACATATTGACTCTCCTGTAATACAGCTGCACACGGCTGCAAAGCATCTTAATTCAAATACCAGCTCTCCTTCTTGTCTTTTAACTGTTTGTTTGTTCTGACCTCATGGCTGCTCTGTAGTCCAGTTTTAACCCTTTTTGTTTAATGTTCCGTAGAGATGCCTTCTTTTATGTATTTAACCCCTCTGTTTTTTCCAAGTTGCATGAGGGTACCCATTGCCCCTGCATTGCTCACAGCAATACTAATATTGCTCCCTCCAGAGTAATCAGGGAGAGCCAAGCTGGGTTTGGATGACTAACTGGCCCAGGTCAAGTGCACTGGCACAGTTTATCTTTTGCTCATAATATCTTTATCACTGCAGAGCATCCCTAAAGGACCAGCGAGATCTCCCAGAGGTAGCATCAACGGGGATGGAAGCGCTTCTCCTCAAGTACGTTTATTACCCAATATATCATTCTACCTCCTATGTGATCTCGATAATGTTACTCTTTGTTTAAAATGAGCTTTGTATGTAACTTCTTGATCTTTCCAACAGAGAGAGGAGACGCCGTCATTTGCCCAGAAGCTGCAGTTAAGAGTCCCCTCGATGGAGTCGTTGATTCGTGGTGGTGCCAGCCGGGCAGAAAACCTGTTCCGCTCTCCTTCCAAAGAGAGTCTGGTCCGAAGCTCGTCGCGCGAGTCCCTGACACCTTTGGGAGAAAACGACTCCCCGGGCGCCCCTTCGTATGACCCGCCCTCGGACATTGAGAGTGAGGCTGAGGAGCCACCAGGAAGTGCAGAGCCCCTTTCCAAAGAGCAGTTGTTCCACCGACTGCACCGAGTGGAGATGAGCCTCGGGAAGTACAGAGGGAAGTACTCCGAGGTGAGAGGCACACAGAGACCAGCTCCTTTAAAGCTCACCTATTTCAATTATATATATATATCATAGGGCCATATCTATACAAAACGTGTCTCTGAAGTGTTTTGCTCAAAATACCAAACAGATTGTAGCCATGCCTCATACTCCTCTATTTCAGCCCTGATTCTGGGTCCGCAGCTTTAAATGTAACCGAGCTGCTGCTTGCCACGCCCCTTTGGGCTCTGTGGGCGGAACGTTACCAGGAGTTCAACGTAAAGCCAGCTCACATTTTAGTAATGTCGTCGTGACGCATCAGATCTGGATCAAGTCCATTGTACCCCCGTTTTTAGAAATGTGGGTAAGGTGGAAAAGAGAGAGGGTTGTATTTTTGGACACTTTGTGAGTCTCCTTAAACACCGGGGACACATATTTATGAATAAAAGACATTAAAAAGTGCATTTTGCATAATAGGTGACCTTTAAAATCCAAATGAGAAGTTTGTAAGCCTGTTGAAGTGCATAAGTAAATATATATTTGATGTATCCTCATCACGATTTCCCTCTCTTTCTCTCTTTTTTTACTTTCTACCACTTCTTAACCACACAGCTGGTTATTGCATACCGAACGGTGCAACGAGAAAAAGAGAAAACTCAGGTAATTTCTTTCAACTACCATGTTGGCTTATTTTTTATATTTTTCGAAAAAGGTTTTCTCAGAGGACGCATGTAGCATCCTGAACTCATCATATGTTCTTTTCTGTTCTCCTCCCCCTCAGGTCATCCTCAGTCAGTGTCAAGATAAATCTCTCCGCAGGATAGGAGAGCTGCGGGAGGTACGGCCATATGTCATGAATGTTGTTGTCTCTCGAGGTCAGTATGTGTCTCTTTGTGATCAAATATTTACGCACGAGTGAACATATTGAATGATCTCTAGGAGCTTCAAATGGACCAGCAGGCCAAGAAACACCTACAGGAAGAGTTTGACACTGCGCTGGAGGAGAAAGACCAGATGATCACTGTTCTCCAAACACAGGTGTGTGAACATGCACAGATATGTTTTTCTCAAGACTGCAGCTTTCAGTATTAATCATTGTGGCTAAAATGATTCCCTCTAACTATATTCTACGATATACAGACATTTCTGTGTTAATTATGTTTGTATTATATTATTATTTCGTTTTCAAAATATCAGGGTTAAGTCAATACATGTGTATCACTCAAAGTTGGGCAGATATTTATTCTTAACCTATACAATACATATGCATTTCCAAATGTTACTTTAATAAAACCTATTTTGACTGATCCATTAGACCAACTCAAATATACAACATTAAATTGCCACTGTCAACGTTACTGCAGTGATCAATTAAACATTTTGGAATTATTCATCTTAGCAGTACTTCTTGTTATTATATATTACATTAAACCTTTGAGACTGGATCAATGTTTCTTGTGCAGAACACAAACAAATAAATGAAGAATGCCTGAAATAATACAAAATGTTGGGCTTCAACCCAAGTATTATTTCTGTAACTGTAGTTTTTGCTCGGTTTGTAACAGGTTTCTCTGTTGAAGAAACGATCTGTGCCACCTGGGGGTGACGTCCCTCAATCTGAAGATGCAGACTCAACCTCTTCCACACAAAGTCCTCTGAAGGAGCAACGAGAAGGGCCTGAGGTCACTGAGGGTAAGCACATGTTTTAATGTATATTTGTAAATTGGTTGAGAGCAAAGCAAAACATGAACTTACTGGTTCTGTCATTTCTATTTAGCTGTTATTCTTTAACCGGTGCATTTTATTGTCTGAACAGGAGAGGGCAACAGTGATCCAACCAAACTCATGGAGGCTCTGCAGAAGAGAGTGACCCGGCAGGAGAACCTGCTGCAGAAGTGCAAAGAAGTGATGCGAACACACAAGGAGCGCAGCGTCGCGCTGGGCACCGAGAACGAGACGCTGCAGGAGAGGCTGCAGGAGCTGGAGAAGATCAAGGTGCATAACCTGTGCTCAACAGCAGCAATACTAGTGTCACTGTCGTCGTACTTTCATATCTGGACATTGAACTATACATTTTAGATAATATTCTCATTCTAACTTTTATTTTCAAAGTAAAAAGCAATTTTCTTAGGACAGCCACTCACAAAAAATTGTTTTGGTAGTAAACTGTAATTATGAAGCAATTTGATTAAAACGAGGCTGGGCTGCACATGACTGTACTGTGTGCTTCGAGAAATTAATTAATAGAGTCTTTACGGTCCACTGATATTGCGACTCAATTATCTCAGTGACGCAGTTGATATCTGCGGTTCTCAGAGTCCGAACATCTGAATTTTCCAGCACAGCTCCAGGGCGAGGGTTCATGTCAGCATGACACGACTGAACCGTTGTTTTCATTGATTTCAAAACATTTAGCTTTCAGTCGGTATGCTTGGCTTGTTTTGCTTTTCCATGGCTGCACTGATGTGTTGCAGCGGCTGATAACAAATGTTTGTCGCTACAAAGACAAAATGATAATAGACAGCTTGTCTGCGATATGTTCATTGACTTGCTTTCATTTTTGCCATAGCTTTTGTGTTGAATTTTCCGGCTGTTTGGGAATACGTGGGCCTTTTCCTGTGTCAGGAAAAGCAGAGGTTAACAGGCGTTTAGCCCTCTTAAGCAGCATGAAGGCATCCGGGAACTGCTGGGCTCATCCCCTGCCTCACAAATATAAAACAAACCATCTGTCTACGATTCCAGATTTTCAGCTCAGAGGATTTTTTAATTTAATATATACAGTCTTGTTGACAGAGTATTGCATGCTGTATTAGCATGGTTTTGTATTTTTATAGTAAAATGATACATTTTGAAGATTGTTCAATTGTTCCTGTGGCACACATGGATCAAATAAAGACATCCCAGCATTTCCTGTTTAGTAACTCATGGTTACACAGCGGTGCCACAGACAGCTACTACAGGCCTGGGCTGTCATTTAGGTCGACTTGTTGGTTTAGCTGGGCTTGTGTACACGCTGGTTGTTTTGCTTTTGGTGAGGCATCATGGGTGGTGCAGCAAACATGTCATTTTGAAGTTATCCGACCAAAGGACAAACAGGATATGACTCAAATAAATCTGAAAAGGTCCTTTTTAAAAGATTAGATTTGTAATTTTGTGAACTGTTTTATGTTTTTAGGAACTGCACAAAACAGAGAAGACTAAGTTGATCACTCAACTGCGGGATGCCAAGAACCATGTTGAGCAGCTGGAGCAGGACAAGGTGAGTGAGAGGTTTTTTAAGCTTTAGTCACCTCTTGATTGACGGGCCTGAAGATTCGGACATGACATGTTTTTTCACTCTGCCACGGAGCAAGAAGTCGGACACCTTGAAGTCCCATCTTGTTTCTCTTAACCTTTGACCTCAGCTCTGCAGGATGGGCAGCAGCTCATGAGATCTGTGTGAGGAATGCTGAAACCACTTAAAGTCAAAAACCATTCCTGATACTTGAGAATGAGTTGGGGTGTAAAATACAGAGATAGTACTAATCAAATAAATGTCAGTGTCAACTCATTTGCTCAAACCATACATTTAAAAGGTTTTTCTTTCATGGGTCGCTGACTTTAGGGGATGGTTATCGCTGAGACAAAGCGGCAGATGCACGAGACCCTGGAAATGAAAGAAGAAGAGGTCGCACAGCTCCGCTCCAGGGTCCATCAGGCTACTGCCCAGAAAGAAGAACTACAGGAGCAGAAGGAGAAGGCAGAGAAATCAGGTAAGGAATCCACTCCTGTAAGTGTACATGTAAAGGTTTTCTGTGGCTATGTTTATGATGTTTTTTATTTGTATTTTCTCAAAGCTTTTGAAGAACTGGAGCGGGCGCTGGGTGTAGCTCAGAAGGCGGAGGAGGCCCGTAAACAGCTGCAGGTTCAGCTGGAGGAGCAGGTGAAGGAGGTGGAGAGGGCCGGAGAGGAGGAGAGGAAGAGTCTGCAGCAGGAACTAACCCGAGTCAAACAGGAAGTCGTCACCATCATGAAGGTCAGGAAGTGACCTCTGCTGTATACTCTATCTAGTATATTAATATTACTGGCATTACTCTGAGTTGGTTATTTTGGTTGTGTATGCCTGAATATGACACGTTATTTTATAGAAGCTAAGTAGTAACATTGCCTCACCATTTCAAGTGTTTACATGAGAATGGAAAATGGGATAGCGGAAACAGTTTTCTGTTCATATTTACAATGTTTGTTTTGTTGTGAAATGTCTTTAAAAACACAGAAATGCTTTATGATCATCAATATCTTTAGAAATCATCGGAGGAAACGGTGGCCAATTTGGAACAACTCCACAGGGAAGCTTTGGCTGCTAAAGAAGAAGAGATGAGTGCCAGAGTCAACAAAGCCGTGGTATGTCCCAAAGGTTTTAAGTCATTTAATTTCACAACATAATCAAGTAAATGCAATTTAAAAACATGTGTTTTTAGGAGCAGTGCAAAGAGGAGTTTGATCAGCTGGGCAGCGAGCGGGAGCAGCAGACCTCTCTGGCTCTGGAGGATGTGGAGCTGCAGAAGACGGCTCTGAGGAATGAAGCTGACAACAAGGTTAGAGAGATTCAGTCGGAGCTGGAAGCTGCACGAACCGTGAGTAGTTTTTTATCAGTCAATTAGAAAACAAGTTGTTCATTGGATAATATTGGACCATTTAGTTAGGGATTCGTTGAGGCTCAAATCTTTGTTCGTGGCCATGTTAATGAATTCAGTGAAATGGCATTAATATTATCTGCGTCATGTTTTTAGTTATTTGGCACAACAGGAACACACACACACACACACACACACACACACACACACGCACACACGCACACACTCAAACATTCAATATTAATCGTACTTGAAAAACTCAAATGTACCAGGTAATGAATAATAATGAATGTTTTTACTTATAACTCGCATAACCCACAACTCATAGTATTCATTTTTATAATTTTTCAAGTTATTTCACATAAGAAGTGCTATTATAGTGTTTAAATGTATTCAGTTCATTCCCACTGTGATTCTTCTAATATCTTAATAAGTGAAAACAGTTTTTGACGACTGTAACTGCCGCGAGAATGATCCAACAGCCTACTTGTATGTGATTTCAGAGAGTGTTGGAGCTGGAGAGCTCTCTGGAGAAGATCTCAGAAGACGGCTCTAGTCTGTCTCAAGAACTTTCCAGTCAGATAGAGAAGCTGAAGGACAAACACAAAGGGCAAATCTCTGCATTAAAGGAGAAGCACCAGAAGCAGCTGGAAAAACACAAGGACACCCAGCAGAGTAACGCTGCTCTTGAGGAACTCAAAGAAAAGCACAGAGTTGCATTGGAGTCCCTTCTGAAAGAGAAAGAGCTGCAGTTCCAAGCACACGTTGAAGACATGAACCAGAAGACTTTGGAGAAGCTGGATTCAAAGCAGGCCGAGCTGGAGGCAGTGACCGCTGAACTCTCTGAGGCTCTGAAGAGTAGACAGCTTCTGGAGGAGACGTTGGTGGCAGCCGAAGATGCTAACGGTTCCGCTCAACGGGAACATGAGAAGAAGTTTGAAAATCATGTGAAAAAGCACAATTCAGAGCTTGCAAAAATCAAGAAGGAGCACGAGAAGTCTCTTGGAGGAATTGAGAAAACTCTGAAGCAGGAACTCAACGCGTCGAGGATCGTTCTGACAGAGAAGGAAAAGGAAATGACAGACCTCATCCTGAGAGAAAAAACACTACGGGAAGAATCTCAATCCACTGTACAAAACTTAAATGCCAAAGTTAAGGAATTGGAGGAGCTGAAGCAATGTTTATCACAAGCCCAGGTGGAGAGTTTGAGCCTAAAGGACTCTGACGCACAGCTCCGTAAGATGTCAGAGGACCTTGATCAGTGTAAGAAGGATTTGACAGACTTGGAGCATCAGTTGGAAGTAGCAAAGAATGATAGTCAACAGAAAGAGAACTCTCTTCAAGAACTAGAGCAGCAGTTCCAACAGACCAAAAAAGAGCTCTCGGAGCAGGAGAAATCATTTAGTGCAGAACTGAGCGCTAAGCAGGAGGAGCAAGCTCGCCTCCGGAAGCAGCTGGATGATGAGAAAGCTGCCCTCCAGAAGAAGATGCAAAACACTATCACTGAGATGGAAGCTAAGCTGAAATCCCAGGAAACAAAAATGGAAAAGTTCAAAAACAAGGCCAAAGAGATGCATGAAAGCTACAAGAAAAAGATTCAGCAGCATGAAGAGACCATGAAGACGGAGCTTGCAAAGAAGGACAAGGAGCTTAAGCAGACAGAGCAACAAGTGCAGGAGAAGATTGTTGCGATGTCCCAGAAAAGTTCCCAAGGCCTCAGCAGTGCCATGTCGGAGCTGCAGGCCAACCACAAGGAAGAAGTGGAGAAGCTCCATGAGACCCACAAGCACGGCGTTGGAGAGCTGGAGCGTCGCCTGCAGGACAAGTTGGGACAGCAGGAGGAAGAGTTAACTGAGAAGCACTCTCAAATACTGCAGGAGAAGGCTCAGGAACTGGAGGAAATATCTCAGCGACTCAGCCGAGGCAAAGAAGAGAGCGAGCAAGCGTCACGTCAAATACAAGATCTGAAGGAGGAGCTGGCAATTCGACAAACCACCGTGCAGAAGCTTCAAGAAGAGCTCAACGAAGCAGCGGTTAAGCTTGAGGGCTTGTCTCAGGGTGAGGCGTTACTCAGAGAGCAAACGGAGACAGTGGAGAGGAACCTCAGCCAGGCTCTGAACGAGAGAAACTCCCTTCAGGACAAGCTCAGCGCCATGAAGGAGGAGAGCAAAGAGAAGTTAAAGGCCTTGTCGGGGAAGCTGAAGGAAGCAGAGAAGCAGCGTAAAGCACTGGAAGGCTCCAGGAGTAAGGAAAGCCAAGACATGCAGAGTCAATTTGAGGAGACTGCCACTCAACTACAAGCCAAGGAAGCAGAGTTCCAGCAGCAGTTAAGTGTGATCAGAAACCAAATGGAGCATCACTGTAAGGACATTCAGTCTAAAGTGGAGAGTGGATCCAATGAACTGGGTCACAGAGTGGAGTGCCGGTTGAACGAGCTGAAGGACAGACTGCTGTGTAGTCAGAAAAACGTAGCCAATCTCAAAAACGTCATCCTCACTAAAGTAGATAGAATTTGCACTTTAGAGGAGACTCTCCGGCAGCATGCGGAGGACAATAAGAACCTATGCATTTCATTAGAACAGATGACCGCTCAGGTAAACGCTCACACGGAGCACGTCAACGCCTTAACGCACGAGAAAGAGGATCACTCGCAGTCCATCAGCGAGAAAGCTCTGAGAATCCAGGAGCTGAGTGAAGCGAACCGACTCATATCAGAAAGCATGAAAGCCAACGAGTCGCATATCAGTAACCTGGAAAGCATCACCAGTGACTTGAAAAAGCAGCTGGCGAGTAGCATAAAAGAGAAGGAGGAAGCCATAACTCAGCTGAACCAGCAGTATGAAGAGGAGAGGCAACAGGCCGCCGCACAAAGGCAGGAGACCATTGAGAGATTAGAGCAGGAGAGAAAGTCTGCCTCAGAGCAGGCGGATGCACTCAGGAACAGCTTGTCTGAGCATGAGACGAAGTTCACCCAGAATGACATCACTATCACATCTCTGCAGACCAGGCTCGATGAGCTGGAGCACGAAATCGCCGAAAAGAACCAAGCCCTGCAAAGGCTGACGGCAAGCATCGACAGTCAGTCCATCAGCAAGTCTGAGATGGACCAGGTGCTGAGTGAGAAGGAGCAGACGCTCAGCGGGCTCTCCTCGGAGCTGGAGAGCTGCATCAGTCAGCTGGGCGAGCTTCAGCAGCAGTTGGCCTTAAAGACGAGAGAGTGCGAACAACTCACAGCCGACCTCCGACAGCAACACAGCCTCAGCGAGAAAGAGAAGAGAGAGCTGGTGGAGCAGCTGCAGCACAGCCAGATGCAGTGCACTCAGAATGGGAATCTGGAGCAGGAGACGGCGGAGAAACTCCGCTCCCTCCAGGAGGACAACCAAAAGTGCAAACTCACGCTCGACGCTCAAAGGGAGGAATTTGAAAAGGTGAAGGAGGAGATTATCAAGAGCAAAGAGGTGAGTGTGAAGGCTGCTGAGGAGAAGCTGACCGCGGAGAGCGCTCGGAAGGTCTCTGAGCTGAAGAAGAAAGCCGAGCAGAAAATCAGTCAGATTAAGAAACAGCTAACCTCGCAGCTGGAGGAGAAGGAGCAGGTCATAAAGGTTCTTCAGAGTAGCCTGGAGGAAATCAAGAGCAGCGAAGCGACCGGCAAACGACACACGGAGACGTTGGAAGAGAAGACGACAACTCTGGAGGAAGCTCTCGTCAAGCTTAAGGAAGAGCAGGAGAAAGAACTCAAAGTGATTCTGAGTAATGAGAGGCTGGAGAAAGAAAAGTCTTTAGAAGAATTGAACATTTTGTATGAAGAGAAGCTGTCCTCACTCCAGAGGGATGCGGCGCAGCAAGGGGAGCTCAAAGACACTGAAACGGCGCTACAGGAAGTCGAGGCCAAGCTGAAGGAAGCAGAGGAGCAGCGCGGAAACCTTTTAGCGGAAGTCGATCGCCTGAAAGAAGAAATATGTCAGAAAGATTCCCAGCTTGATGAACATCAGGCAACGATTAAGCAGATCCAAAACCCATCAGGACCTGAGGTGAAGGTGGAGTGCAGCAGCTTGCAGCAAAGCAGCAGCGCGATGCACGCTGAGACGGAAGACCGCTCTGCAGCGCAGGACACTGAGGCTCTGGACTCGCTCAAGAACAATCTGAAAAAGGTGAAGAATGAGAAAGAGCAACTCCACAAGGACTTCGTCAGCCTGCAGAAAGACATCCGCATTCTGAGGAAGGAGCACGAGAAGGACCTGGAGTGCATGAAGAAAGAGCTGTTGCAAGAGAATGAGAACAAGTTGAAGTGAGTACACGATGTTAAATTGATAATGACAACTTAAACATCAAATACAAATAACCTCAATAATAATTTCATACATTTCCTTTGCTCTCTATTCTGATAGGCTGGAGTTGGAAGATGTGGAGATGAAGCAAAATTCTGCCATCAAGCAGCTGATGCGGGAGTTCAACACGCAGATGTCTTTGAAAGAGAGGGAGCTTACTACAGGAGTGAAGGAGGCCATCGGTGAGGCGGGAGAAGATACATCATGAAATCAAACGCTGTGATGTTAAACATGCAGAATCACCATTCGTCTCTATTGTAGTGGAATCATTTCAATATGCGGTCTAATTATTGTTGAAGGCAGCCATGATTGACTTTCATGTCCAACAGTAGAAGTTCTGACTAAATGGAAACAGGATGCACTTTCTTAAAGGGGCCCTACTATGCCAGTTTTGAGGTTTCAGTATTGCTTTAATGTTCAAAGAAAGCTCTTTCTCAGAGCCCAGTCTGCTGTGATTGGTTAGCTAGCCAATAGAAGCGCAAGTGTTACTTAGTGATGTCATTACGTTGCAGAAGTAAACAAAGGAGTCCAATGGAGGCGTTAAAGCCAGCGGGTTGGGGGGGGGGGGGAACTCCCTCTGGCTTTAACTTTGGTATTTTAGGCTTTGCAGACCATGTACATGCACACAAACCTATATAACACACTACGGTAAAGGGAAAGCCCCAAAAAGCACAATAGGGCCTCTTTCATCTCGACACCGGCTGAGCTAAATGAATGGATCGTTACTTTTGGATACAGTGCTGAAGTGCCATGTTCCCTCGTTTCCTCTTCGGTTAAAGTGTGTCACATTCCATGTGGGATGTGACCGAGCGGTTTGGAATGAACTCGATTTTTTTTTTGAGGTGCTAACTCTGGCTTCTCTCCCTTCCCTTGACACAGAGAAGGCCCAGACTGTGGAGGCGGAGCTCCTCAGCAGCCACAGTGAGGAGGCCAGCCAGCTGAGGAAGGTGATCGCCCAGAAGGAGGATGATTTGCACAGAACTGTAAAGAAATATGAAGAGGTTTTACAGGTACTTTGAAAGGATGAAGCCCAAAAGCGTTTTTATACTCAAACAAGACCACATTTAATAAAGTAAGTTCACCATGGAAAGGAAATGAACCCCACCCACCATTTGGAAGCTATCAGTCGGGCAGTTGGCAGGCTCCTCCGCTCTTAGTCTAAAGCAGAGGTTCCTGTCCTTTTTTGTAAGATCTGCCCCAAAGCACTGGATGAACTCAAAGACCCCTTTATGGACACACCAGCCATCAGGTTACAAATGTCTCTTTCTCAGTAGATTTTTTAATATAATTTAATCATTAATAATATGCAAAAAATGTGTATTGTAATATACAACTTAGTCACAGAAGGTGGTTTTTTCACATGTTATTCTTTGCTTTAAACCAACTTCTTCATCTAGTATACTGTACTTTTACATAATGTAACAATCATAATTCATTAATATTCGTTTAGTCTTTAAGCTCCTTATAGATGTAACTGTCTTTCTGAACTTTTATTTGGTAGCTACTTAAAACCACTTATCTCCCAACATAATTAAGGTGGGAGGTCTGAAAGAAGTCAGCGAGTAATTTCCCCGACATACTTGAGTTGTGATGCAGAGATGAAAGACAGGAAATGACTCAGCGGTTTTTCTTTCTTTCTCCTCGTTCAGAGTCGAGAGGATGAGATGGGCGAGCGAGTGTGGCAGGTTCAGAAAGAACTGGAGGAGTTGCAAGCAAAGGGCCCCGACACTGCTGAGGTACAAACACACTGAACACATCCTCAAGGTCGAACATCTGCCATCGCTGTCACAACTCCTTGATGTATTGGGAGCATTTTCATTTACACAGATGTAGAAAATCATACCTGCAGCCATTAAACATGAGGCTGGAGGTTTAGATTAATTCTATATAGCGATGCTGTTGAAATCATCAGCCATTGTGAAGTCTCTTCTCCTTCTCCTCTGGGAAAAGGCTGTCTGGATGCATTACTACTTTTTGAATGACAACCTAATCCAGACACATTTGTATGTCTGTACCACGAGGCCCTTTCTGATATCTTATTATTTGAAAGTTCACATCCAGGTTAACCTTCTCGCCAGTTGTCGGCTATCTTTTCCTCCGTCTAGCTTTAGAATTGAAGGATTCCGCCTCATAGCTTAGGGATGATTTCTCGATCACTTTGCTCTGATCAGTCCCTCGCTCCGGTTGTGTGGCTGCTCTCCAAAGCGCGCCGGATGCTGTGAAGCTCGTTTGAATCACTCAGGAATGTTCCCCTCGGAAAACCGAGAGAGATTGTGAGGCAGCAGCCAGCCTCGATCCCTGTTCTCAATTATCATCACACGGGGTGATTCTTGGCCTTAGGTTGATACTACAGCAATACTCACGGGCTGTGTGTGTGTGTTGGGAAGAGGCCAGAAAGTACTCCATTGAGATGCTTTACCCAGGTGTTGAGGTGCCATGAGACCCCTGCGCTGATTCTTCTACCTTTACACCGTGTCCACATACACACAAAAAGGAAGAGTTATGCTGCTGCTCTCTCTGCGGCATGGTTCCCTAGTGAGGTAATAACTTTATGGGAGGATTGTATGAGTTCATGCTCAGGGAGGCCTTTCCTCACTACGGGCCTCACAAACCATTCTTCATTCAGACAGAGGGTCAGTGGGTCTCTACCTAGAGACAGCAGAAGTCAGGGTGTCTGCGGGGTCTTAAAAAGTATTAAAAGTTGATAAATCAATTTAGCGAAAATGAAGGCTATTAAAAAGTATTAAACGGCATTTTCCAAGGTATTACATTTTGTAGCTTGTTTTCAATAAGTATATAAATTCTCCAAAGAGGTTGTATTCTAAAGTGTGCCTGAATGTAATCATTGCGTAGGTGTGTAGTGTGATTCTGTGTAGTTTATTGATGGCATCCTGTTGGATTGGACGTCATCTGAACAGGACATCGCACGCTCACTGCTTGAAAGTGCGCGAAGGTCCGTTTGCGCCGGTTGTTAAACAACATCGTTATGGGGAAATGCAAGTCTGCGTCCAAACGGTTGGAAGATAAGGAGGAAGGACAATTAATACTGTATAGTCAATGTGAGGTGAAGTGTCGCCAATGTAACCGGTTAAAACTCGAAGTGGCGATGAGGTCTTAAAATGTATGGAAAGGGTCTTAAAAAAGGTCTTAAAAGGTTTGACATCTGACTTCAGGATTCCTGCATAGACCCTGGAAGTACAAGTCCAGTGCAGACTGTCAGTGCAGATCTAATTGGGCTCCAGCAGTTCTTTATTATACTCTGCATTCAAAAGGCAAAGTATGAATTGTTACAAAAAAATGTGAATCCCAGAAGACCAAATGTGTTTTTGTCCATCTCTCAGGGTTTCTGACTTATTTGACCTGTATGTGACTCTTTAGAAAACATTACTCAAACAGGGCAACATTTACTATTTATTTTAAAACTATTTTCAGGTGTATTATTATTACAGATGCCGTGCACCCACAAGTATTGTGTGTTGAGGTTGAGTCAAAAATAGAGTACAGTGCCCGTGTTTAATGTAATGTAGGAACATGTGTGGCTCATAGGTTTGTTCTTAAAGTAAAGAGACAATAACGGACCACAGAGGAATAATATTTATATTGGATCAACGTATTTGGTCTCTTAACAGTAGAACAAATATAGAATAGCAGAATTCTTGTTCTTTCAAGGTGAACTTGAACATAGAGATAGATATTAATGTTGTTAAAGTTACTACACTTACTGTATATCCTTTTCATTATTTTGTAACACATTTTTTCTTCTTTGATTGGGCACAGATGAGCGCTGAAGAACTACAGGTATGTTTTCTGTCTCCAGTATCAATGGTTTTACTATTTTAAGAACACATTTAAATGCAATGTAATGTAATGTAATGTAAACATTTAGGATTGATGGACACATACTGCATTGAATGACTAGTTTCACCCTAAACCTTCCCGTTCTCACCAACATGAATGTTTCTCCTTCTCTACCCCAGGCTCAGCTAGCCGAGAAGACGACTCTGCTGAGCGAGGCTCGGCTGAAGGAGCAGGGCTTCGTTGAGAGGGTAAGTGTCCGGCTTGGTGCTCTTCGCAGGGACAAGGGAACACCATATCCCATGCAGAGTATTCCCAGGATTCTGTGGCCTCCAGCAACGGAGCTACTGCTCTTCTGCCGCATAAACTTAATAACAAAGTACATCTGTTTACATTTGGTTTAACCCTATAAACAATCACAGCAACGCCTCCCGCAGTCTTTCTCACACACATCATCATTCTGACAAACATCGCCATGGGGATGATCAACAAAATGTTAAGCTTATGTCCCACGCAACAATTAGGCTAATGCATAGAATTAACCCACTGGGGTCACAGCTATTTTCTTTCATTATTCATCTGTGCATGCGTGTGTTTTCTCCACGGTAGATCCACTCGCTCGAGGACAAGATCAAATGTTTCCCCCGAAACACTGTTGTAACTCATCTGGGGAGCACATACAAAGGTAATGTTAACACCATGAAGCACTTTGTTCTGCTGCTGGAGCAAACGTTCTTTTAGAAGCCATGCAAAATGCTTAAACACAATGCAGTATCATGGGGAGAATTCATACACTGCAAGCACCTGCAGTGTAAGAATAACTCTTACACTGCAGATTGTAACAGTTTTTTAACATATACAGTGAAGGAAATAATGATTTGATCCCTTGCAGATTTGCAAAGTTTGCCCACTTATAAAGAAATAACTTATTCTTATTTGCCACATTTAAATGCAAATCAATTTTTATCTTTTACATAATGTCAATTTCAGTTTTTTCTTACTCTCACTGTTAAAATAAACATACCATTAAAGTTATTGACTGTTCATGTCTTTGTAAGTGGGTAAACTTACAAAATCGGCAAGGGATGAAATAATGGTTTCCTTCACTGTAACATATGATGATACGTATTTTGTGTTGACATAGGAAAGTTATATTTATTGTCCCCATTGGCTAACTGTTCTGTACTTAGTTGTTGATTTAGTTTTCCAGCCTCCTCTTCATGAACTACAAATGTGACAAGAGAGGCAGATCTTAAAAAGTCTATCCTTCTGAGGACATGTAGCCAGCTAAGTGTGATTTCAGGCTTACTGGTTCACACGAGAGCTGCGGTTATAATTAGGGTTTGGTTAAGGTTAGAGTAAGGGTTAGGGCTAGACACATAAGTGCTGTGGTCGAGGTTGGGGTAAGCCTCTGGGTGCTGACTGTAAGTCAATGCTATATTCCCAAGTAAATCATAAACCGAAGGTGGTGTGAGAGAGAGAGTGAATCCGACCCTCGTCTCAGAGCTTCCCTGCTGTGTCATAAAGAGAATCTGCTGTCAGACGGGGGGCCGGGGAAGAAGCCTTCTTTGGATTTAATGGGTTTTCCACGTTTTGGTGTTAGGGTTTCCCACACAGGTCCCTGCCCCACACAGACTTCTAAAAACCTCTACTCTCCTGTGTGTCAAAGAATAGATTTCAAAATACTGCTGCTGGTTTATAAAGCACTGAATGGTTTAGGCCCAAAATACATTTCTGACCTCCTGCTAAATTATGAACCATCCAGATCTCTCAGGTCTTCAGGGACTGGTCAGCTTTCTGTCCCCAGAGTCAGAACTAAACATGGTAAAGCAGCGTTCAGTTATTATGCTCCAAATATCTGGAACAAACTCCCAGAAACCTGCAGGTCCGCTGCAACTCTGACTACTTTTAAATCCAGGCTGAAGACTTTTCTTTTTGTCGCTGCTTTTAATTGAACTATTCATATCTTAGACTGCACTGTAACTTTTATCCATGTACTTTTTCTTTTAATGTTTAATTGAACTATTTACATCTTAGACTGCACTGTAACTTTTATCCATATATTTTTTTATTTTAATGTTTATTTTATTATCTTTTATTTTTAATGACTGATTTTAAATACCATTTTCTTAATGTCTTTCGTTTTTTGTAAAGCACTTTGAATTGCCTTGTGTTGAAAGGTGCTATATAAATAAACTTGCCTTACTTCTAATACACGTTTATATCCAACCTAATACCTATTCTGTCCTGAATTACCTTTGGATTACAGTCATTATGAATCTGTTAAGCCTTAAATTACAGAGAGGGCTGATCAGAGGGCTGTTTATGTTTGTTTTGATGTGGGATAAGACAGTAGGATCCGCTGGGTCAACATGGGGTCAGGAGGAAGGAGGCTAAGGGATTTATTGGTGACCCATTAGCTCACCCAAGAGATCAAAGAGTTATGTGCTCTCTTCTCTATCACCTTTTTCCTGTCCTCTAATCAAACTGTCTCTCTTGGCGGACACAGAGAAATGTATATTGTCTGAATGATCTTCCAGATTACAGAAAGAGTGGGTGGGTGTTCTTTGGTAGAGGCTAACTAAGTGTTACCAGCCCTAACCATACTGTAACAGTTTCCCATTCAGAGTGTTTTAAAGGGATATTAACCTTATAGCTTTGGGCGTGGGAGTTCATGCTTTTACACAGCTGGTAATATCATGCTGAGTCTCGCCATTTTTTCCAGTGCTTTTAAAAGAACCTACCTTTGCATAATAATATTTGTATCTTGTTGCTTACACAAACATAATGCTTTGAGTTGTCGGGGGTTTTCTTTGTGTCAAAACTCAGCTGTGAGTGTTTGACATTGAGTATATGATTGTATGCTAGTCTTAAAAAACAAGAGATCCACTTTACTCGAGCAGAAATTCTCTTAAGATATATTATTTATTTTTACAGAGTGACAAAATGTTGCCTTAACACATTGTCACCTGAAAGTAATATGACCTGAGAGGCTTTAAGATAGGGAAGTGAAATATCATTTGAATATGACAGTTAATTATTTAAGTGCATTCTAGTGCCTGGTCAGGTTTCAGATCATTTAATGGCTTTTTTTCTTTTCTTCACAGAACCTGTATACAACAGCGGCGAGCCTACTGAGATGGAGTACCTGAGGAAGGTGTTGTTTGAATACATGATGGGACGGGAAACAAAGGTATGCTTTTTATTTCCTTACAGTATTATATTAAAAAAACATCAAGATAAGATAAGACTTTATTTATCCCGAAGGAAATTGTTGTGCCAGAGTAACAAAATACAATAAACACAATAAACACAGCAGCACAACAGCAAAACTGTAACCTAAAAGTGCAGCAAAAAGAGCAATGAAACATCTACAGACAACATGAAGCATAGAAACATTGATGGTCACACAATCAATGCAATTATTAGCAGTATTTAGTAGTTAGTAGTGCAAAAAATAAAACGTAGTGGCAGTTACGTAATTGCACGTTATCATAGCATTATTAATAATACTAATTACTGCCAAGTAATTGTTCTATTTTTCTTATTTGCATCAATCCCAAACTATTTAAATCATAATTGAAGTGTTCTCACGTTGCAAGTTTTTACCTCATACCTTAAAATGTGATTTGCTTTGAGGTTTAAATTGCAAAGATGACCCTAATCATTAAAATAATAACTTATAACATTAAAAACAAGACTGTAAGCGTTAAACCCAATGACCTCTATCCAAAAAAACTAACACCTGAGACCATTTAGGAAGCCGTATAAAAGTCATGTTGTGTCCAGTCTTTTTGTGTCAAATTAACAATATAATCCTAATTAACAGTGCAGTTGACATGGCCCTAAAGTCAGCGGGGTTTTCCCTGCTCCTCAGCAAACATTCAGTCTTTATGGCAACATGGCTGGCCTCCGCAGTGTGGAGGATGTCCCCCAGGCTGCCTGCTAGCACACACATCATGCATGACGCCGATTTGCCATTTAGAGACATGCTGGCCTTGTTTAGCGTTGGTTGAGCGGTTTCCTCCAACAGCCCTGTTTCTGATTATCCCTTGTGTTTATGGGGTAATGCATGCACCCTGGCAGATGGGCCTGGAGTTGATTTTTGTTGGGATTCAAAGAACAAGCTTGATTTCTTTGGATCTTGTTGTCAAACGCGGGGGGTAAGTGTGTGGTGTTTGTAAAAAGGGATATTGAAAATTGCACGAACAACACATCATGGGACACTTTAAAAAAAAAAAAAAGGCAGTTAAGTTATTTTATATTTGCTTCTTATCCACAGACGATGGCCAAAGTGATTACCTCCATGCTCAAGTTTCCTCCAGACCAAGCGCAAAAGGTTTTGGAAAAAGAAGACACTAAAGCGATGGTGAGCACATTTGCCTGCTTTCATAAGACTAAAGTCCCCTAAAAACATATGACATACAATTCCTTTTGATGATTGCACAGTTAATTGATAACTTATCTGTCTCTCCACAGCCTTGGTTAGGATTAAACGTCTGAATAAATAAGGGTATTAATGGATTCAAATCTGCTGCTGCTGCTGCTGCTGCTGCTGCTGCTGCTGCTGAATGGACGGACTGACATGGACTTGATGGAGCACTTCTCTCTGCATTTCTTGTCATTGTATGTATGTATTTTATGTGTTTGAGCACACTGGGGCATAAGTGTGGTGTGTGTGTCTGTTGCAGTACGTGTGAATATATCTAAAAGTTACGAGGGAATAAGAGAATATGCCCGAAACACAAATCTTTCACTATTCTAATTTTACTATGATATTAAGTCTGTTAATTTATATGTTTTTAGATGAAGTAAAATTGATTCCTTTTTATTTTAGAATGTGTTTATACAGATTGGCTTGTGCAATAAATGATATCATTATCTTGTATTTGATGCTGACAGGTCAGTTGATTTATAGGTTTCTGTGTTGTGCTGTTGTCTGATCAACTTCCTCTGTAAAAGTGTCATCGACCCTTTAACTGTGCACTCGCTCCACATTAAGATATATCTGGACCTTGTTTGTTTAACACAGCTTTTCTATGCTTTATATTTTGTCACTACACTGACATAAAGACACAAAATCACAAACTGTAAATTGTTCTATGATACTTAAGACTGTAATATATAGGGCACTATATGATGAATTGCTATACATTTTCAGACTAACAAATTAAATCCTATTTACAGAACATCTTTTGTCACTCCTTTTATCTTAATTCTCGTGCAGTATCTTCTGTGTTAAATCCAATAGCTTATCTCAATACCCGGTTTGATGGAGTGAGACAACATCCTTTTGAAATAGACACGTGTGGAATGCAGACATCACAACACATCTGGGTTTTAGAGATCCTGTGCTGTATATAATGGGTCACACACTTCAGTAAAGGTGACCTTTGTTTGACCTTTAGTTCTCTCCTCCACAGCAGAAATACAGGGTTCCATATAGAGGACACGCATACATGTATTAGACCATGGAAACCTTTATTTAATATGAATGACGATACACTTTATTTATCAAGTATGTTGACAGATGACAGAACTTGAAACTTAGACATGGGCAACTGACTATCCTTACATATACCAATGAAAGGTTAAGTATATGCTTTTGCACAATGTGGTTTCATCCCTAAGGATCAGGAAGTTCCCAAATTCCAGATGATTTATGAACAAAAAAAGGGGAACATGTATATTTCTGCTACATAATATTCTGATTTCTTATAAATGATTTTGTCCGGACTTCTACTACAATAAAACAAAGGAATTAAAATCATTCTTTGGTTGACGGGTCACAATTGGTTGACAATGCTTTGTTTTAAAGGGAGCCAGGACTGCAATATATCATAACATGTGACCCAAGAAACAAGTCACAAGGTGCTTCTTAGTGGGGTTTTATTTGAACATGTTTGCCAAAACTCTTATTAAACCTTCCTCACTTTGGAACATGTTTTCATTATTTAATTGTATTGACTTTTAAAGAAATTGCAATATCCCTGGTGATTTTCGTGACAGAAGTAGAATATCTCTAGTTTTTAATAACGAGGAAGTGACGCTGTTCGTTGTGAATGGAAAACGTTAGATGGCAGCAGAGGGCCCTCCTCTCTCAGATTAAGAGAGTGGAGCCCCCAAAACCCACTGGTGAAATGTGATGCTTTGCGCCTCAAAACCATCCGCGTCTCTCCGTGACCGCGTTACCAGTGTCAGTGGAGCACAGCGAATACACGTATCCCGGTTTAAACCTTCAAATTAAAAGTCCATGACTTGATACGACTGGCGGTGATGATTTCTTTTGAGTACAACTTTTCGTGTTTCCGGTCGTACCCCTGCGATTTGTTGTTAACTTTCCACATCTGACTGCATTTATCTCCACGACAGGGGAGCCTGCGAGCAACAACTTTCTCAGATTGACACAGAATGGAGAGGAGCTGACGCACCGTTATCTACCGGACCGTTAACTTTCCTCTACAAGCGTTTCCAACACAGCCTACATGCTTCGCCAGACCGGGGAAAAACTACTGAAAGATAGTTTTGTAACAGTTTGACTACTGTAGAGCTGACAGTTCCTCCTCGTTCTTTCCCCCCCTTTCTTTTCTCTTTTTGGACACTTTAACCGCGTTATTACGCATGATGCGCAAAGGGATGGCTCCTCTTTGGAAACACAACACGGGATTACAACATGTTTTTTACGTCTATCTTTTTATTTCAGTGGCTTATTCTTATAATATAGACTTGGAACATCATTTGGTGTTCCGCGGACCAAATTCTAGTTTTTTTGGCTATTCTGTGCTGGAGCATTATCATGACAACACACGCTGGTGAGTCCCATGTTTTACTGTTAATGGAAAAGCTGTTATTTTCTTTCGCAATGAATGATGCAATGAATGTGTACTTTTAAAGCAAATGTTGGTGTGTTTCTAGAGCTGTGTGCATTAGAAAAAGTGTAATATTAATCATTATAATCAATGTCAGCTCTTACTGTAACTTTTTCTGCTGGCACAAATTGTGTTTCTATCATTTAAAAGATTCACTGGCACAGTTAAATATATTTTAAGCGTTTGTCCAAATCCTGTCCCCCGTGTCTGCAGGTTAATAGTAGGGGCTCCAAAGGCCAACTCCACCTACAGTAGCTCTGTGCACTCTCCTGGAGCTGTGTACAAGTGCCGAGTTCACAGCAACCCAGATCGACGCTGCACGGAGATGGATCTGGGAAGAGGTTAGTCACCACTGCCTGCAGCGTAAAGATAAGAGCATATAATGACAAACACACTAGCTGCAACCTCAGGGTATCACATGCACACACACACACAACTTGACCAGTTCAGAAATTAACAGTCATCTCACAGAAAAGTTCCCTGTCTGGTACTAAAGTCCATATAGTACACACACTGACACACATGCATGCTGAGCTTTCCTGCAGCTTTCCCTTCTCTCTTTGCCTTAACTCCCCCAAGCATCTGTTTTGTTTTATCAGAATAATGAAGCCTTATTCTGGTTTACTCTTAACAGTGCGACAGTTGTTCTCTTAGTTATGAACCTGCTTTATGGAGACATGTAAAACACAAGGGTTCTGTGTGCATAGGTCCATACATATTTTTGATATATATGATTTATGCTTTTGCTAATATTTTCCAAGCATGTGAGCCAAAAAAAGTTGGGCTTCACCCCCCCTTCCCAGCGTCGGCTCTGTTCTTGTGGTCAAGGAAGCCGGGGTGCAGGCATGGATTTAATATTAACCCTGCCAATGTGTCACCAAGAAAAACATACATTATCAACAGTGAGCGTGTGCTGCTCGTGCTCAGTGAGCCACATGGAGCTCAACACCAAAGACTGTATGCTCTCAACCCTCTGACAGAGAAACACTACATGCCATTGTGCTGAATCAATTGTCTGCAGGGAGAAAGTTAATACAACTTGGGGAAGTGAAGATTTGGACATTTAAAGAGAAAAGTTGTTAGGTGCCATGGATTCTTGTCTTTTTCTGACTTCATTCTTTAATTATGCACAATTTTGTTAGATTGCTAGATTTATATTCTGGTCACTGATGTTAATAAAAAGCAGTGTTCATGGTACAGTAAGCTATAAGGAATTTGATAATGTATGTCTGACTTTTTATGCCATTTCCTTTGGCTTCCGGAAATTATGATCATCATTCTTTTTGTATTGTTTTCTGATGTTTAATTAATCTACGTTTTTATCAATTTCAATTACTCAACTATAACCGAAATGATTAGTTGCAGACCTAAACTGATTCTATTAGTTTAAAAAAATGAATATCAGACAATATATTGTTATTAGACTTCCATAACAATCAAATATTAATCGTAACATCAAATGTCCAGTGTTGTTGGACTAGGTCTTAATAGATATTTTTCTTGTTGAGTAAAAGTGACATACAGCATTGACTTTATCAGCTGCACAGCCTTTTGTAATGTTGGATCTTTAGCATTTCAAGCTGTCAACTACATCCCCCACACATCCAGCAGAAGTAATCCAAGAACACAAAAAGTGAACAATAGCTGACAAGTAACAAGCCACTGAATGCAAGACATCCTCCGTCCTGATGACTTCTTTAAAAATGCTGTCATTGTCTTTCAGGAAACAGGCCCAGGGAGTCGTGTGGGAAGACGTGCCAAGGAGACCGGGATGATGAGTGGATGGGGGTCAGCCTGGCCCGCCAGGACAAGGCCAATGGCAAAATACTGGTGAGTCCCGGGACACGACGCCCAACTCACATCACCAAACTGTCTAATGCAAACCATGCACACTTGTAAAAAGCTGATCTAATTTTACCAACATCATTGTTTCTAATGTCTAACCATAAACTGTGCTAATAAACCACAGCTGCTCTCAACATTACAACCCTTTCTTCTATTATGTGATGTTCATGAAGTAAAAACTGAGATTTTAGAATGGTTTTGCACAAAGCAACAACGTCAGACAGATTTGGAAAACTGTGGTGTGGTTACATGTGAAACATCTTCCTCCTGTTTGGAGCTGGAAGAGTCAGTGGAACAGGTTTGGTCAAAAGTAGATTGTTGTTTATAAAAACAACTAACTAGTGGTGATAATCCCAGAGGTGCTTGGCGGGGTATTTGCACAGAGACCATAGGGCAGCTGGCAGAGTTTGTTTAGGCTTCAGCCCCTCAGTGGTGGTCCCGTCCAAGGGCAGCCTTTCATTAAACATTAACCCCCGGCCCTGACGGTGGGTAGCGAGGAAACCAGCGGCCTCACAGGACAGTTTGAAGGCGACTGGTGGAGCGGGCAGCTCTTGAAACACTTGAACAGGTGTGTGTTTGATAGACCTGCCGCTGATTGACCGCCTCCTATGGGAGTCTAAGAGATCACAAGAATACCTCCTCATGCAGATGTCCAAATAACTGTTTGGCCTCCTAAACCTCAATATGTTGTTAGTTTTTCATACCTCATTAGAATGTATTGGCATGATATTTAAACTCATGGACTTGTTCTTGGAGTTGTCAGTCTTCGACACTAGAGTATGTCGTTTTATAGAAACAACCTTCTAGCTACACAAAGAAAGGTGGTGACTTTCCAGAGCCATAGATTTTTTTTTTTTATCTCATCTGAATAGACTCACGTTCATGTGCAATGGGAGGGAGACGGCTGCTCAGCAGATGTGTACAGTGGTGATTTCATCAGAGGGCCTTGTTTGTGACCAGCGAGCCTTTAACTGAACAGGAACATGAAAACAGCACAGACTCCGACCATAAAAGCCTTCTTTGCTGCCTCAACAGAACTTCTCAGCCGCTGCCAGAGCCCCTTCTTTCGCTGTCAGCTGATTCTTTTTCTTTTTTTTAAAGAATCTGCTTCTACTCAAGAGGGAGACTTGATGTTAGTATTGCTACTGCTGTTGTCCTAGCCTTCCTTTCAAACACAAGCATTTCTCAACACACCATCTTACTTCCAGACGCCCACAATCTACCCAGCTCTTATATTCATTAAGAGTGTGTGTGTGTGTGTGTGTGTGTGTGTGTGTGTGTGTGTGTGTGTGTGTGTGTGTGTCCATATCTGTCCCCAGAGCCACAGGAGCCCCACCACCATCCCCCCAGGGTGCTAAAGTATTACCACATTTAAACATTTATGCAGCCTGATCTGGGCCGAGTTTGAAATATTATATTATCCTGTTTCCCTATCGATCTGTGGAATGTTTTATTTTTTAAAAACACAGCAGCAAAATATTGTTTTGAGAATTACTCACTGTCAGTTTCAGCAATGTCCCCCCTGTTAGAGCAGGATCATAATAACGTGGGAGTTTGTTCTCTGTCTTTGATCCGCTGTCTGAACCTTTCGGCTTATTCAGCTGGCTGTAAGGCCCGGAGGAGAAGTTTTGAAATTAAAAGGGTGAAGATTTTCTGCTGCACATTAAATGCTGCACACAGATCTCACGCTGCAGCGGAAATATTCACACCACAGACCATGGCTCTATGGTCAGGGGTTATGGAGGGGCTTTAGCTCCCCCTCTCATTGACGATCATTTGACAGCCGCAGAGACACGCTGACTCCAGCTCTGCGAGGAAGGGGCCTGCCCACCCGCCTTGAATGTTTGTGTTTACTGCATGGACATGAGTCTTATTTTGTTTTCCGTTCCTGTTTTTCTCTCTCAGGCGTGTGCTCACCGCTGGAAAAACGTCTACTACGAGCAAACAGAGCATATCCTTCCGCACGGATATTGCTCCATCATTCCTCCCACTCTTCAGGGCAGGACCAAGCCGCTCATCCCTTGTTATGAAGGTACAGTGGATGCACAAATGTAATCAAGATGTTCCTTTTTATTTTTTACCCTCAAACTTCTTACATAAGGCTGACAGAGAAAAGGTCAAATGCATTTCTGGGGGTCAGAAATCGTAGTGGTTTGTGTCGACCATTGGACTCGTAACCCCTCAAAATCCAGCACAGACTTTGTGCTAATATTGATTTCCCAGAGAAAAAGAGAAAGAAACTTGGAAACAATTGGGTTTAGCCTTTTTATCATCTTCTGTGGTTAAGTTTTATCTCAGCAGCCTGCACCATGGCCTCTGATTGGTGTTCTGGCTCTGGAGACTAGTAGCAGGAGAGCCTTGAAGTGTGATCTCTCCTCCTCCGTCCAACAAAAGTACTTTGGCAGGAGGAGACAGCTCTTACGGGTTTGTTAATCCAAATATATGAGCATTCTGTCCAATGCGGTGCAGAGTTTGAATTCCCTTTGCAAAAGTAAAACATTTTCTGAAAGGTTTAATTATGCCGACTTTTCGTCAGTTCAGAAATCAGGTGCTTTCAAATAAAACATTTCTTGCAGGGTAGACGAATCAGATTTTGTTATGATTGAAATAAATCAAATCCATTTGTGCTGTTTTCTTTCTTTGCGCTCTGTCTACAACACTAAAAATCAAGTTCCTTCTAAATAATAAGATAATGTACTGCATAACATTTGAAGCTGACTCATGCAAATGTGTTCTTCATGTGTTTTAATATGTGACTCGGAGCTATTTATCAAAGCCGGTCTTATACCTTAATTGTGCTCCCAGGTCAGGATTTCACTTCCTTCCACAACTCTCATTGCCAACAGTTGAGAAGAAGCCAGACCGACTTTGCATGGAAGCGTATTTACAGTGCATCATGCGCCGCAGATCCAAACTCAATATTTTTGTAACCTGAGAGCACTGTGTCCCCCCTCCAAGTCTTCTCTTTGCACCCCTGCTTTCTGGCCCCAGACTCTTTGTGGATGGGACTGGGACTTTGACTAGCTTCATATGGAATGCAGGAAAACTCCAGTAAATGCTGGCTCGAGCACTCAGTGAAATCATTTGTGGTTTGTATTTTTTCTTACAGACTATAAGCGGAAGTATGGGGAAGAGCACGGCTCGTGCCAAGCTGGGATAGCGGGAGTTTTTACGGAGGTCAGTAACAATGCTTGTTCATCTTCTTAATACATGGTATACTCTATTTATGTACGTCTCACAAAGATAGTTGTTTGTTGTCGTACAAACTCTGTATTCTTGGCTTCATCAGTCAATTGAGTGTTTGGCAAACACAGCACTTCTTCAACAGTTTGCATTCTTTTCCTGTTACATACTAATAGAAAGTATTAGTTAGCTTCCTTGCTGTCTCTTTTAGTTTTATCAGGGCTCTCAGACACTCTTTTGTCAACTGCATGATTTCCGTTGACATTACCACATCATTCACGTTTCAACATTTTCTTCCTCTTTCTTTGCTGACTTGGAATTTATTTTCCACAAAATGTTTAAGATGTAAAATGATGTGGGAAAGTCTCCAGTCCTCTATCCATGAGTGTTTGTATCAAAGCAGCTAGCTCTCTGCTGATAACTGCTATCTGGTGTTTCCATATGGTACAGTAGGAAAGGCTGCAGCGGCCTCACTTGACCCGGTGTGGTTCCATAAGATAAAACCTTTAAGAAAATATATAAGTTTCCTTTTTATCTCTATGGCATGATAGATGCACTACTGTATTAACACATGACTTCATCACATCTCATATCCTTGTTGCACAACACCTTTGTGTATCTTAAATATATTATATATTAAATATATATGTTGCTCTATTTACACTCAATTTAGGAGGTTCAGCAAAGTACAATGGACTGTAAGTGACTTAAAAATGTGTCCTCGGAGCACAGCTGTGTCCTCAGGGTAAAAACATTCCCAGAAAGTGTCTGATGAAAAGTTCATGTTTGTGCAGTTTTCCTCGATTTTTTGCTTAGCAGAATTGTAGCCTTCTTATCCTGGTGCTAATCTCTAAATACTGGAGCTGTAAATACTAATCATTTAGGAAAGCTGTTCAAAGCATTTATTCATCATACAAGTATTTTTTGTTGTAGAAATAGAAGCTCAATCATTAGTAGTTATCCAATGTTCGGATGTTCTGCTTTTCTCTGTTTATTGTCATTGTAAACTTAATATCTTGTTTTGGAATTTTGGACGGACAAAACAAGATATTTGAAGACGTCCACTCAGGCTGTGGGAAAACGTGATGGATATTTTCCACTATTTTCAAAGAAAATAAACTGGAGTTTGATTGATAAAGAACATAATCATTAATCAGAGCTTTAAAAAGTTGACTCACTTAAGTTTACAGAGACATGCAAGACCTGAATATGAGATGTGTATAATAGAGTCAAGAGCACAGTCACACAGGCTTTGCTTTTATAAAGGTCCTCCTTTCACAGATACTAAAAATGGGATCATTTCACATGATCCGCCTGCCTGTTTGATTCCACAATGAACCTACTGTTTAAAAGACCAAAAGGGAAATCATCATTTTTTTTGTTACACTAAGGACGTCAGAGTTGATCTGTCAATGCATTTGAACAACCCCCCGTTGATAGAATCTGAAGAGTTTAAAGAAAAGATTTCCAACTGTTGAACCTTATCCAGCACTTTGAGTTTTGTTTATGCAAATAAAATATATTATTATTATTATCCTTGTCTGAACCATGGTGTCCAGATGTTGGACATTAAGGCTCAGGGGGATATTTACCTTCTTTGTGAGGTCTCTATTGTCTGTGCGGTTCAGTTTGTTTGAGTGGTGACTACACATCCTCTGAGTCAGATTACGTCAGGACATAATAAAGTGAAAACCAGGACTCAGAAATGGCCGTAGCAGAGCATCTTAATTGTCTTGCTCTGGTCCCTTTAATAGCCGCGGAGCATCACAACAAAAAGCTGCGAACAGCTCATTTTACAGCTGCCAATTTAGCCTGTGCCCTGAATTCCCCAGTCACATCAAAGGAGGCAGCTTCAGCTCGCGTGTCGTCTGACATGTGGTCGAGATCAGATATCGCAAACCAGTCTGTGGCCGTTGGTTAACCAGACGTTCACCCAGCAGCCTTTCTCTTTTTTTCATTCCCCTTTTCTCCAGCAGGCTTTAGCTCTGCAGACAGAAGGTGAATCATCTGAATGAATGTAGCTTTTATTTTCAGGAGCTGGTGGTGATGGGGGCACCGGGGTCGTACTACTGGACTGGGACCATCAAGGTGTACAACCTGACCTCTGACACCTTCTACAGCCCCAACAAAGAAGACGTGGACTCACACAGATACAGCTACCTAGGTAAGAGCCGTAGAATCAGCATTATAGAAAATATTGATACGTTTAAATATTGTGCACTATATAAATTCACAAAAACACCATTAATTTTGTATAAATATATTCAAAAAAAGACAGTCTGTATATCGGTAGAGCTGTTTGGCTTCATTATTTTTGTGTTTATTTAATTTGTGTCCCTAAAGAATCTTGCAACCCATTTGTTGTTTTAAATTGTTCTTTATATCAGATAAAGGATATAGGCATGACTGTATTTGCTTAAAGGTATATGGCACAACAATTCCTACAGTTCTGATTGCATAACAAAGTCAGATTTACTTATTTAGTTTTTCTATATCCTTAAATTAGGTATTACAAATCCCAATCTATCACCTTGCTTAGAGCGTTGCAGTAAATTAAATTGTAACCCCTTTATCATGATGTACAGTAATCAATTATTCCCTTTATACAGCTCTTTTATTGGGTTTAATGTCACATATCGATGCAAAATAATGAAAACAGATTGTTGTCTACGTGTCTCCAGGCTATGCCGTGACTGCGGGCCACTTCTCCTCTCCTAATGCGATAGACATAGCTGCAGGGGCGCCTCAGCACAGCGGCAGTGGAAAAGTAAGGACTTTTACTATTGTTTTATTTCCAGCAGTTGAGTTCAAATCCTCTGGTATTTCTCACTTCACTGATTTTTTTTCTCTCGCGCAGGTTTACATTTTCAAAATGGATGGCGGGTCTTTGGTGAAGAGTTTTCAAGCCTCAGGGAAAATGGTATGAGCTCAGATGTGGTCTTATATTCTTCCAGAGGTCGCTGACAGTTCTGTTTTCAATCATTATACAGCATAGATTTAGGCTATTGTCATACTATACAACCATATTTGATGTAAACTAATCTGCCTCAGGGACCATGTAGTTGATTCTTGCGATGTGTTGCACGCACGCTACTCTGATTACTTTGTTGTCAGAACTGCACTGTTTATATCTGCCTCAAGTGTATAGACAGCATCAGTGATTTAAAGAAGGAACACACTTTGCCAGAAACCAAAGCCAGGGAGGTAGCTAACACTTTCCATTCAGAGTAAATAAAATAAAGTCAGGGTGGCTTTAGGATGTAAGTTGTGTAAATATTCCTTTAAAGCTGCTTTAGATATAAAAAGAAAAGTCAGAACGTGATTCGTATGTGATTGGTATGAAGTGAAGAAGTGTCTGTGATCTGACCCATTGCTCTGTGGCTCGGCTATGTTCCAGATGGGCTCTTACTTTGGCTCCTCATTGTGTGCAGTTGATCTGAACCAGGATGGCCTGTCGGACCTGCTGGTGGGGGCCCCCATGCACAGCCAGCTCCGGGACGAGGGCCAGGTGTCTGTGTACCTCAGCAAGGGCAATGTGAGTGGGGTCAATGGGAACATGAGAGCCTCACTTTCAGATGTATTTTACTACAGTATGTCCGTGTTTCTATGACTTTATTAATGTCTACAGTGTCTATTCTAGCTCATGTTCATGTTTGATTTCTTTCTGACCATGTTTGTTATCATGACAGTAGAATAAAACAGTGGGGCATTTTGAGTCCTTCCGGGGGAGTTATTTAACAGACCAAGACTAAAGCTTCTGTTGGTACATGCTGTATTTCTAAGTTATTGCGGGAAAGTCGACTGTCTGTTTTGTTGTTAAATTGTTTGGATATTTGCCAGATAACCACAGTTGGGGCCAAATAATTTTACTGCAGATGCATGCTTTAGTGCATCTCTTCTTTCTTTTGCCAGTTCAGTTATAAACTGCCTTCTGTTTTCAGGGGGTGATGGAGGAAAACGCTGTATTGAGTGGTGACAACGCTTTCAATGCACACTTTGGAGAATGCATTGCTGCAATCGGAGACATAGATGACGATGGATATCAAGGTCAGTACTGTAATAACCATTAAAACTGTCTGCTTGACATTCTATACTTTTATATATCTGTGCAACTGAGATTTTGATTGTCGTACATGTTCTGCAAATATTTTAATGTTGCATCATTCTGAGCAAATGTAGGAGTTTTTGGGTGATTTATTTCATTATACAGCTTTCTTGTGTTAAATATTATTATTTTATATTATTATAAATACATTTATAATTGTCAAAAACTTCACATGTGTTAGTGATTGAACCTTCTGCATTTCCATATGGGAAGAAATACAGAAATGTAAAATAGTCGTTTCCAGCCTGTGGGTCTGTGTTCCTTCAATGGGTCACAACCATAGACTGTAGGTCACAACATAAATCAGAAAGGTGGTAAGATGATTAATGGAATAGGAAGGAAGAAAACACACATTTATTTCTTTGTTGTTGTTTTTTTTAATTCATATGTACAGCACTTTGGCTCGACCAAAAATCGTTTATAAATGTGCTATATAATAAAACTTGATTTGATTTGTTCTGTGAATGTTGTATTTCCTTGTCTAGCTGTAAACAGTAATTCAATAACACAACCTGAGAAGTTTTACTGCTCTTGACTGATATCCGACATCTAAACATGTGCTCTACTTTAAGGGGAGACCTGATCACTGACTTATGACCACACTGTGGGTGGAACATGTTTTAGTGCTGTACAGTATTGTGGTTCACCCTGTTTACAGCCGTGCCACAAGTTTCACATGACTTCCTATTGCAGGCAGCCACTATTTTCAATTAGTTTCACTATGGAAACTCAAAACCCTGCTTGAGACACGCATACAGCAAACATAAGTCATTATGTTATTTTAAGTTTATTTGTTGTTGTATATTTATACATTGCAAGCAGAGAGTCATTTAAAAGTCATACAATGAATCATGCAAGACAAAACAAAACAACAACCAAAACAACAAACCAAAGTATTGATTTCCTCTTGTATCTCAGAGTCCTTGAATGCACCAAAAAAAGCAGTCTTTACATTTGAAACTACTGCTAATTCCTTTAACCCTACACTGTCTGACGGCATGTTAACTGTTTGTAACCATTGAGCCACTGGTGAAAGGTCAGATATAAGATGGTGGTCGTGTTTTTATAGGTATAATTCTTGTAATGGTCCTCCAGTGGTCCATGAATCTAAATCCAGGCACTTTTCTATAGTATTCACTGCTTTATTGTTGTAACAAAGCTATTTCCTCTGTCATTTAATGACTAATAAAGTCACACAATTTAAATTTCCCACTGCAGCCCACAAGCAAATGTTGGCTTGTTGAGATCTCAGTAGATGCAACAGAACCTCTCATTTTTACAGATCTTTTGTTTTGATTAGCCTGCAGCGAGGGGGCTCTTTAGAAAATAATACCCTCTCTTACCCCCAGTCATTTGTGCGAGGTCATCCAGATGCAAACACACATTTCATGCCTGTTGGCTTGCCTTTGAGGCCTGACTTGGCGTCCCTTTCACACTCAAGGCTGGAAGCTGCTGCCCGGTTTCATCTTCGTGTGAGATACGCCTCGAGGCTCGCAGCCTGGCACAAAGTGTGCATGTGTGTTTTTGCGGAGAAAGATGGCAGCTGGGAAACATAACTCATCTTGCAACTCGTCGCTCTCAGATTGTCAAAAGAGCCTGACTTGCTCGCTGAGTGAAAATGATTTACGAGAAAACTGCTACCATTTAATTCAAAATAACTACTGTAGAAATTAAAATACTCACTAAGAACAAATTACTGGTTAAGTATTCACCATAATGAGTACATTATTGTATCATGTACTGAAAAAGTGTCAACTCTTTTACCATTTCTGTTTTGGTATGCTGAACCACATGGCAAGTGTTTTGGTCTATAAAAAGAAAGTTTATATAAGGAGTCATTGTTTCCGGGCTGTTGCCAGCACTTTATAGTCTTGTTTCCACTCTCTCAGTTTTTATGGCCATTAACAACACATGATTGTCTATTAAGACTCTTACTGTAACAGCTTGTTTCCCAGGGTTAATGACAGCTTTATACACATTCACAAACACAGTTATTTTTGTACTCATTCATTTTGTTGCAGACTTTTCACACAAACACTATTTGTCCTGTTTCAGATGTAGCCATAGGCGCACCTAAAGAGGATGACTATGGAGGAGCCGTGTACATCTACCATGGGGACGACACAGGAATCATCAGCAAATACTCCATGGTAAGAACTCTTCCAAACTCTTCTTAGAAAAAGGAATATCTCCATCTGATTTCCCTCCCCTGACTTACTCACTCTACAGCTTCACCAACGCATGCTATATGTTTATGAAACCCATGTGTGCACCTTGTGTGTCGAGCTGTTGAAGTAGCTGAGTAATGTGTGGTTACAGGTTGGTGATGTAGCCTCGGGAATACATGGGAAACGTATCACTCTGAATGAGGAGAAAGCACTTCTTCATGAGCTTCCTTTTAGTTAGTGAATAAACAGTATTTCAATGTAAAGGAACTCACTCTAATATTAATCTAGCCTGTGTAAAAGATAAAGCAATCCACCATTATATCCAAGTTGACAAAGTTAATGTTCTCTATTTCATCTGTACAAAAGCTTAAATGCAAACTACCAGTTGAAGTTTTTAGCTATGTGCTGTATTTTATTTTGCATTGGGAGTAGTTGATAGGTGTATTTTTTTACTCTGGAGAGTACCAGGCTAGCTGTTTCCCTGTGTTGCTGGCTTTAATGCTAAGCTAACAAGTGCGTTATTTACTTTAATCTGTAAAAACAAAGATTATTCATCTTTGAAAAACAAATCATACAGTGAGTTTATTTTTCCATATTGGCTCACATGAGTTTTTTGAAGACTGGTATCATCTGTTTTTTAGAAACTGTCTGGGCGCAGTTTGAGCCCTGGTCTGCAGATGTTTGGCCAGTCCATCTCCGGCAATGTGGACATGGATGGCAATGGATACGCAGGTACGTTCATAACAGACTGGATGAAGGATTGTCCACATCAGAGTAAAACAGAAAAACACAAAATGGGAAAGGATTGGATTATTTGACATTAGATGTTTGCCCTTTTTGACTACCTTTCTCTTGCAACAGCAGTGCAAAGACTCGTGACAGAGGCATCTTGTTTACTGCATTCCACAGCTGATATTCAGACTTAGCCAGCGAGACAGTTTAAGGCCTCTGTGCATTGTTTTGGATTTGCAGGTGTAAATAGCGCTGTCAGCAGATGTCACATTAATATGATGTCTTGTTTTTGGCTTTTCCAAAAGCTCATGTTGATGTTTCTGTTGCAGATATCACTGTTGGAGCTTTTATGTCAGACAGCGTGGTGTTGCTGAGGTGAGTGACTCATTCTCTCTGATTTATTTCTACTTCTGAGTTGTTTTAATGTCCAGGCTTTCCCACACTGCGTTCTTGTGTTGGTCAATGTGGTTGTAGGACCCGGCCTGTCATTACGGTGGATGTCTCCATCTTCCTGCCTGTCTCCATCAACATATCGGTGCCCCAGTGCCACGAAGGCCACCAGAATAACCAGCACCTAAACTGCTTCAATGTCACCGTCTGCATGCTCTTCAGGGGGAGACAGCTGCCCGGACAGATAGGTGAGGACAAATCCTGACAAGAGATGTACATAAAAGTTGTCATTCTACATTAAAATGGAATAAAATACCTCTGACTGAAACAAAAACATAAACCAAAGAGTAGCCTAGCTAAAAAGAGAACAGTTTAAAAAAAAGATCTACCATGGAGGAGGAGAATGAACAATACCTAGACTTGTTTTCTTTAAAAGTAAGAAAAAACAACACCAGCCAACACCTCTAAACATAGTAATTCATATATTGTACTAATTTTTTGTATCCATAAAAGCAGCAATATAAGCGCTACAAGCTGTGATTCTTTACTGTAAGTCGTTGTGTTGCTTGGCATCCAGGCAAAAAGTTAAAGTAGCTTTCTTGAGTTTCTTAACTTTGTTTTGAATTTTGAGAAGAATCCAAAAGCAATAGTCTGATGTGTGATTGGTGTTGATCACATGGAGTATATTTTGGTTGTTTAGTGAAATCCAAGCTCTTTGAACTTTTGGTGGTCATTCAAATGGGGAACATTTGTAAACACGACAATGTTGAGCAATTCTCCCCATTTCTAGGACTTGGTCGGTTTGGTAAGCCTTTAGCCTGTCTGTGTGTTTGTCTGAAAGTTTAACTTGTACTTGGGTGCGGTGCCTGTTAAGCGCTGAGGTGTAGTCCTGTCCTAGTGTTTGGGTGTGGTCATTTACGTGCCCCCAGGGGAGCAGGAGCCTTGTCGTTACATAATGACTACGTCCTGGCTCCCAGCAATAAGGCCTCTCTGTTTAGCCGTCTGGCGAACATCATGGAAAGTGCAGCACTATGTGTTTGGTGACTCCCTTAATGAAACCTTCCTTTGCCTCCTCTGGGGTGAGCTCATGGCGTAGTCTCTGTTGGAGGGAGGAAACAGTAGGCTTTGGTCCGACTGGAGTGTGTTGCCACCCTTCCCGCTGTTTTATCACCTGTGACACCCTCTTGATGCGATTACTACAGACTGAGGCTGATTCATTCAGAGAAACAGGTTTGACCAGAGGCCCATATATGGTTTCCTCAGGAAGTGTTGGTAATGTTTGCTTCATGCTTATGATTTCTTAATTTAAAATAGATTTGAAGTGGTTTTGTGTCTCAGTCACTAAGGCCAGGGGGGGAACCAGCATAAATGTTGTAACTGAAATGTTTTCCTTCACAGTAATAGTTCCCCACCAGCTGGAAAATGAATCCTTGTTAATTGTTAAATATTGGCTGTTTTTATGTATGAATCAGAATCCGATGAAGACATATTTTAGTTGGTCCCATAAATAATAGATCTCAAAGCCAGTGCTAAATGAGTGTTAATGAAGCAAACCTAAATCTTTCATTACATCTACTAACTGTTTACATTTCTCAACTTGGAACAAAGGTCTCTAAAGTTATATCAGATAATTTGACCAAGAAATGTCAAACATTTTTTTATCTTATACATACATATCCATACTCGATCATTTATTTTCCCCATGTTTGATGGAAGTCACCACAAAACCAAACGATTTTCTCAAGATTATCTCTCCTCAAAGAACTATCGCCAACAGTATTTCTATCTCCTCTCAGAGTTGCTGTATAACTTGACAGCTGATGTGGATAAGCGACAGAAGAGCCAGCCTTCCCGGGTCTTCTTCACTCAGAGCGGATCTCAGATCAGCCAGATGAGCCAGCAGCTCAGCTTGGACATCAACAGGGAGGAGTGCCAGCGCTACACTGCCTACGTTAAGGTAAGAGTGGATTTTCTGGTCTTAGCACTGGCTGTGTTTTTTTAAGGTTTCCATGTGCTGCTCATGTCCTCAGCTGATCTCTCTGCTGATTTCACACAACCTCAGGCACTCTGACCCTGCGATGTTGATGTGTGGTACAAGTTATTTACTTATGTGGTTTGTTATTATTACTTATCTTTGTATGTGGCTATTGGTTGGAGAGAAAAATATCTTGCGGTTCCAGCTGAAGTGTTTGATGACTTGTGGAAAATTAACGTCAAGTTAAATTAAAGGGCGTCACATATCTGATGTGTGAACAGTGACTGCTACAGGCTACGGATCAGCAGCTTCCGCTGTCACCCCGCTGGGTGAGGTCAAAGGTAACAGGCAGGCGCTTGAAGGTTCGTGGAACCACGCTGCTCAAGTGTTAGTCTGCAGAAACTGACAGAAACAGGAAACAAAGTCTCCTTTGTCATCGCATAGTCCCTCTATTGTGTTCCTCTGCCATGTATCCACAGAGAGGGTCCTCGTCCTCAGGGCACCATCCATGTTTCACCTCCTCTAATGTAGAGGCCGTCCGCGGGCCTGTACATTTCACTGGCATTCTTAACTTTGCTCTCCAGGCGCTTTCACCGTGGGAGGCTGAGCTGCTGACCGAGGGGGGGCTGTCATTACCACGCCTGCCTCTCTTTCTTCAACCCTTCAGACTGTAATGAGGGCATAGCACACAGAGCATTTGCAGCAATAATCACTTTTCATGTGTCGCAACATGCACATTACAGTTATCAAGGTTAACTCAATGCAAATGGTATGTGTTTATCCAGGCTTTTCAGTTAACCTGGATAGAAGTTGACATTTTAATGTAATTTCAACTTCTCCGTCTGAAGTTTTAACGTGCAAAACAGTAACAGAAGGGTAAGTCACATAAAGTAGTATTTCTGCCCAAAGTAAATCAGACATTTCAACACTTGAAACAAACATCTTAAGGTCTGTGGGCGGGTGAGTGAATTATCACCCAGGAGTTCGTAGCTGCCACATATCTGTGGCATCTCTCTAGCTGTGAGATAAACACACTTTACGTGCAGTTCATCAGGCTAGATTTTATTTCGTATTTTGCAGCTGAAGGTACTTATGTTGCTAGATGAAATAACACTCTGATGTTGTTACAGGAAAAGTTCATTTTTAGGGACATTTTGGGAACCATTGTTGTGGATTTACTACAGGTTATTTTCGGGACCTTTTCTTGGCCAGGTGCTGTAATTGAAAGACTTCAACTCGTCTTTTTTTCCGTTAAACTTTGCTACTGTTTGAGCGTACAGCAGATAATGTGTTGATTAGTGGCCTTTAAATGTGCTGCTCATAAAAGGATATTTTTTCACCTTTGAACAAAACCTATATCCTGGCTCCAGTTTATTAAAGGTTATGAGAATTGTATTGACCCACTCCTGTAACTCTCAGCAACAACTGTTTTGTGAAGTGTGTTTCCGAAAATTTCAATACAACAGTTGACAGACACATTAAGTCTTTCGTCTGTAGGAGTATTTGGATTGGCTTTGTTAAGGTGTGAAATGCAGCCCGGCTGCCACTCTACCAGCATGGATTATTATTTTTCCTCTATATGTGGCCACAAACTCCACCTGCGCAGCAGCTCAAAGAAGAAGTGAGTTACCCAAAGCTGGAAAGCCACACAGGATGGTGAAGGTGTGGTGCACAAATTACAACTTCAGCAAACTGTTTAGAGTCTAAAGGACCTAAGATAAGAGTCAAAAGTAAAGGGGACAGACATTACACCTAGCATGATAACTGTCTGTCATGAGCCTCCATCATCATGTTTCTCAAGAATCACCATAATCAGAGGTGATCTGGCTCTGCTCTGATGGCTCTAGTCTGCCTGACCAATCGCATCATTTATCTTCCTCATGTGTCTGCCCACATGAGCCAGTCCTCCCATTCCCCAGAAGAGGTATGCTAATGGCAACCAGCTGGTTATACGGCTGCATCCTCACCCCGCCCCACCCTTCTCCCAGCTAAAACACACAGGAAGGCACAGGGCTGAGGCTGGCGTCACAGCAGGGTGCTGCCTGGGCTGCTGTTGTGTCAACTGGAGCTGCATGCTGGCGCTGCTGATGGAAAACCTGCGTTAGGGTTGATTGCTCAAGTCCTGATACATGTGGGGCCGCTGGAAGCAGGCCATGAGCTATTCTGAGCCACTCTCACGTTTTTAACTGCCCTGACCATCTGTCGACCCCATGTGTTGACTTTATAAATAATACAAACAATTCTAAAAGCACCTCAGTTAACGGCTAAACTTAATAATGCGCTGGTAAAGTTGTGTTTGTTCTACTGTACCATTTTCACCATCTGAAGTCAAGTAAATCATGCAGTGTTGAAAACAATAGGGCACAACTGGAGTTATTTGGAGACTACATAGTACAGAAGCTAATAGTTCACTTTCTTTTTTCAAAAGTAATTCCTTTCAGTCTTTCATGTTGATCATTTTAAGCATGATTTGATTGGCATCGACGAACAGCATACCAGCAGCCCTCCAGATGGTCTTTGTTTGGTTCTTTTTAGCTAAATAAACTTCATGCAGGCTTTTTCTTGAGTTGTACCTCACATTTAGGAAGGGAAAACAGTTCCTCGCAGTGATGACTGATGAATGATTAGTGTGTGGATGACCAGAGGTGCTGTGTGCGTGAGACGGCAATGAGTCATTTTACGAGAAAACCACCGACTTTACGCAGGAATTCCTCAGTTTGCTGCATTGCATTAAGTAATTTTAAACAATTGGTATGTTATCCTTCTGCGGTATCGTAGTGTCTCGAGTTGTAGTAAAATAGCTTGAAGGCATTTGAGTATTATTTAAGTGCAACATGATGAGGAATTTTTCTTTAGTAAAGTGGCATCGAGGACAGAAAACTGGAGCAGTGCAAATGTATGAAGCAGTTTTACACATGTAATGATCAAGTGATGATTATTTGGACAGACATGAATGTAAACTTCAACCGGTTGGCAGAGGCTTACAACGAGTAACTGACTGTAACCCTAGTTGATCTAGTATGATGCCAAATACACTAGTTGTTGTAGGGATGGCAAGATGAAAAGTCAACAGGGCAGCCATGAAGACACTTTACTTTGTACTGCGACACTGGTGAATCTGTGAGGCTGTACTGAGAAATACCAGAGGATAACCAAAGTCATGAGAATACAGGATCTGGGAACCCTGAATCGCTGGGTTAATTTGAAGCCAATCCATCCAAAATGTGTTGATGTATTTCAATCTGGACATGTGTTGTGGATTGATTGGTATTACCATTTATAGAGCCACACATCCAGCATGGAAGAAAGCAGGAGAGTATACATTTAATAACAAAAGTATTTGATTACGTTCTGTTCATTGTTTATGAATGTATTCATGCTTTATCTTAAGTGAAGGACATCACTGACCCTAAGTAGACCCTGCAAGTGTAATATCAACATTACATTTTGACATGTCTTGCTATAAACTATAAAGCATTCATTCTTCATTGTGTCAAGTTCTATTTACTCAGAGGCTGGGTTTTACTGATCACTTGGTCGTGATTTATTGCTTATTGCTGTCTTAGTAAACACATTTTAACTTTGTAAGCTGTCCTGCACTGTTTCTACGATCCATACAACGGCATGTTTACATCTTTGGCAGTTTATCCATCGTCATATAGGCTACATGTTTTCAATCCAGCATTCCCATCACTGTGCAATGCACGTGAGTCTTGAAATCATGCCAAGAGCCAAGTCCATTTGTGGTCATGAGTGGTATTGTGTAGCTCTTTAGATGCAGTCTCCAAGGAGGAGCTAACATAGGCATTTAAAGCCGTGCCTGTAACAGTTGTCTGTTTAATTTAGCTTGTAAAGTATCCTTCTCACTTTCCCTCCCTGCTTTCCCTGGCCTATATTCAATGTTCCCTATATCTCATGTCCTCCCTAACATATGTTCAGCACCACCAGAGTATTTAAAGGTCTAACAAACTGTATTGTGGGGTTGCTGCTGTTAGTAGGGCAAATGCAGGCTAAACATCTATCCGTCAAAGCTAAACGCACTTAGGCCATCACAAGGGAAACTAGAGACGTGTTGGATTTGAGCAAAACAATGAATGAGATTATCGGACTGGGTAGATGGACTGATGATGGACTATGAAGTTACGGAAGTAATCATTACCTCGCCTGATTTAATTAAAGGGAGATAATGTTTTAACGTGTGTCTGCTTGTTCTCATCATACTGCACCTCATTAAGAACTCATTTGGTAGAAAGGTCCATCGTTGACATGCTCAATTTTGTTAGAAAATAAAGCCAAGAAGACATCATCAAACATAATTCAGCTTTACAGGTTTTCGTTCTAGTGTTTCTTATCAGGTTCAATTTAACCTCTGCCTGTGTTAATTGACTCGCTAAAGAGTCTGCGTTAGAATTGAAATGATTTTCCAATCAATTTTTGTAGTTCATTCGCAACAACTTTGATAATCGTTCAGACAATTTTTTGAGCAATAGTTTTTGAAAATGTGAAGGTCTTTCTGTTTTCAATTTTCTAGATCTAGACATTTTCTAGATCGATTGAACTTAATGAACTTTCTTCTTGCTTCACCTTGCTGGTTATAGTGCCGGACAGTAAATGTGGTTTTCAAGACCTACAGTAGGAGGCTTGGAAGTGTTTGGGTCACACAAAAGTAACTGAGAGACTGTGTCTGCTACACTTTTCTGTGATTGACAACTGTACTGTGTTATGCACTGAAATCCACTAATCTGTTCCTCCAAAGAAGTCAAAGCAAATGTGAACCATTATTCATGCCAACGGTTTGACCTAAGTCTGCTCTCCAAAGACAAACAGGAAACCCTGCAGAGTAAAGTTAAGCAGTCACTGCATCCCAAAGTATCTCCAGTAAGACAAAGTCCCAGAGCCTCAACACTGTCTGGCACGTGGGAACCCAGAGTGGGGACGCTGCCACACTGCCGGCTTTGTTAGCCTCTTTACAGGTCGACAGA